AAATCAATGGATTTTATTGGTGTTAGTATCATTGCTTTGTTAACAGGAACTATAGTAGTGGCTACCTCTGATTGACAGAATTTTAGAGTTAGTTGTCCTGGTATATAATCAGTGACTGACAGAGGAGGAAGTTTTAATAGTTCATCAAAATCAAAGCTTACAGTCACGGTCTTTAAATCATGACATTCTGCATCGACATTTGTGTGAAGAACATCAACGTCATTCTTCATCTTCTGCTCTACTATGAACTGTTGTACCAGAGATCCGTGCTGATACACGTCGTCAATCGTTTCCAGGTATGCTGTTATATCAGCTAGATATTTTTCGTTCTGAGACTGCTTTATTGTCAGCTTTTCTAATGTCTCTTTCTGATACCATTGAACGTCTGTAACAACCAAAACTTCCAACTCGTCAAACATTTTCATTACTTCATCCCGCATTCGCCGTATTTTGACTGGTATTTCTTTAACATCTTCATCTAGTTTCTCTTTTGATAAACCAATGCTGTCTACGATTATGTTAGCCTTCTTTCTCACTTCCTCCATTTTAACCTTTAAAGTTGACTTTCTATTTTTTGACCTTCCAGCGACCTTCAGAATTTCCACAACACTGTGGCATTTACGATGATTAAGAATGGCACATGTACTGCAGCAGAGCTGATTTTCATCTTCGCAGAAGAATTTAAGAACTTCCTGATGTTGATCACATTTGTCTAATCCTTTCATATCAAACGAGCCTTGTTTCGTTTTCGCCTCATTCGCATTCACTAACTTGTGACTTTTTAAGAAGGCATAAGTGTAGTGAACTTTGGAACAATCCAAACACTGAAATTCATTACAAGTTGGACAGAACTTTTCCGCCTTTGTATGTTTGTCGTTATTTAAACATGGTTGACACATTATTCCCTTAACACGCCCTGACACTTCACCATTTCCCGCATTGATTTCAGCCATTTTGACAAAAAACGTTAATCATGTCTATATACCTTTGTGTTATATTTGTACTTTGTACCCGGTTACTGTCGCTACATGTATCGGAATGCGGAAGTAAATAATTTAATCTATACGGATCCCCTTTGCATTAATGCTTTTCAATCGGTAGCTAACGAATGAGTTTTTTCAATTGCAACTTTTTCGGATAAGGACATTATTACTAACAGCCGGGGACGACCCGATTGATGTTTTTTTTTTTTTCATTAAATCGGTGTATAACGAAAGGGTTTTTAACTAATTAGTTGATTCATCTGCTCATAATTGTCTGCATTTTATACTCATTATCAGCCATATATAGGTTCTATGTCTTGTTCGGTCATTCAGATAAAAATAGAGTGTTCAATAATAATAATGGGTAGAAGTTAGGTATGAAAATTTTAAAAAGCAGGGCCATAAAGTCGTCTGCTTTTAAAGATATTTAACACATGTATATTGCGAATTACGAGATAACACACAGATCAATGAAGAAGAAAGCACAACATAGATTCACATGTATACTAGATTATTGGTTATCATGAGAAAAAAGGTCAGCAGTCATTATGTTAAGATATATAGAAGAGGATCTTACATGTTGAATTTGTTATCGAGTTTAAGTAAAGTGATAAAATTCATGGCTGTGCTGAATGTAAGATTCCTCTTATCAGGAAAACCTTGGAAATAATTAATATTATATCGATTAACAATGATAATTATTTGACAGATCTAGAAACTTCTTATTGGGCATACAATGTTTGTCTTGAATTTGTTTTATTGGGCATCAAAATTTGCAAATAACTTAGTTTCTTACTCATTACATACTCATAAAGACCGTCTGATTGATTGATTAATTAATTAATTTATTTATTAATTAATTAATTCATTCATTCATTCATTCATGAATTAATGAATTCATTCACTCACTCACTCATTCATTCATTCATTCATTCACTCACACATGCACTCATTCACATTCACTCATTCATTCCTTCACTCATTTACCCACTCATTCATTCATTCATTCATTTTAGACATGTATATTACTGACGTGAAAACGAAGACAACCGTGGTAACAGGGAATCCAGAAATTATTAAGGAAACCATAGCAACAGCGCTGGTAGAAGGCAACAATATCCTAGGTAAATTTCAAATTATTTTTATCATACATTGAACGTTTTTTTATATGTGTAGCATATGAATAACATCTATGAATATGTATATTATTTTCATATGTAGATTTATACGTGTCAGCTTTTTTACCATATTGTGTTTTGAAATACACGATAACATATAGTTCTGGAGACGCAGAGTTTTGAAAGGGAACCGTTATACGCAGAAAAAATAATAATATTTACTCTAAATGTTTATTACATATCTTATTCAGTCATGTCGTACACTATCATCTTGGAGAGTAAAAGGCAACTCGAATATTAGAATATAGATACTGCAACTTTTCGAGATTTACGTATTTTTCAAATTTGTTACAGGATTGTTGTGATTGGTCGGTTTAGCATGGACCTTGCCATAAAGAAAGCTAAAGAGGCTGGCATTGGTTGGGTGTTTGCACGAGATATATCCTTACGCAAGAGACTTAAAACCAATAAAAATGAAAGGCTTATGTATGACTTTAGGCCTCAACAGACGGTAGGATTTTTGAAGTACAACACCAATTAAAACTAAGATATACAAGCAAATCTTAATGTGTGAAGGCTACTTTTTCTTGAATTCGTAAACCTTAATAGATGTAAGGGATAGGACATGTGCCATTTTGAAAATCTTGTCGCACAAACCAGACCTCACGCAATGACAAATAACATTTTGCCAAATTATCTCATGATAATGGGTGTTATGAATAAAATTCCAGAACAATTAGAACTAAAAGGTAAGCATAGTAGTAAAATGGGGTAAGAATGATGTTGAAAAACTCTTCAGGACACCCAAAGTTGTGGTATGTCCAAACCCCAAATTATTCCGAAAATGATTATGTCACGGTATTGAACTTTAAATCAGCGGCCGGTAGCTTAGTCAGTACAGTCGCAGTACAGTATTCCGAGGGTCCCAGGTTTAAGTCTGGGTCAGGCTGCACATTTTTAAAAAAATTTGAAAAAACAATGAAAAAAGAGGTGTTTCAATCATTTCTCATGGAGAATAAAAATAATTCAGTGAGTAAAGTATGTAAGGGATCAATTGGGAGGGCACATTTTTAGGGGAACCTCAGATGATTTTTACAATGCAGAATTACCGTCTGAATGCAAGTGTCGTATTGCTTTGAAAATTGTACATCTTATCTCTAATTAGTGTTGTACAACTAAATCCTACCGTCTGTTGCGGCCTTATGTATATTAAGAAACAATAAGTATCTTTTAGAAAGATACCTGGCCGAAGTAAATTGGTTAACATGCAAAGTAATGTTATTTCTAAGTTTTCAATACAAAAGAAATGTTAGCTAAGCTTGCATAACAATGACATAACAGTTATTTCTTGTAGCTAAAAGAAATACCCATTTTGTTAGCATTGAAATTAAATTGTAGCATATTTATATTGATGATTTATCAAAGTAAGACAACTTCTATTTTTGGTGTCCCTTTAACTTGATTTACGCTTGACTTTATAAATTTTGAAATCATTGAGAAATAAACCAAAAAGTTAAGAACTATCCGCATTCCTGTACATTTTATTTTAGAACTATCCTTTACATTTTATTATATAGTGGCTAAACTATCATTTACATTTTATTTTAGAGCTAACATTTAAATTTTATTTTAGAATGTTTGGGACTACCCTTTATACTTTATTTAAGAATGGCCAATGAGATTCACCGATTTCAGTTTGTAATTCTTAATTGACCAACGAAAATTCTTTTCATATTCATTCCTTTCCTTTTTATTTTACATGAAGTCGAACTGAAAACAGACAGACTTCGTTTTTTTTTTAAATATTTCCTTTAAATTTTCATATAGATATAGTTGTGATAAGTAACTTCAGATTTTATTGTAAGATGTAACTTTAAATGTTTGATACAAAAATGGAGCACCCATAGTAAGTTCATCTTGGATAATAAGTGACAAATTCTAATTTAACGTTTTGCACACATTTTGTTTGGCAGCATATTATTTTACTTGTAATTGGCGTCCGCGCCGAAGCGAGACGCCCTTATGGAATGAAATCAGATTTTGTGAAAGGGCAACAGCAACTTCTCGGGCCTTTTCGTCAGTCATAATAGCCGATCATTCCAATGGGTATGATCATAAATTAAATGTCGCAAACTTAAGAATTTCGCAATGCAAACATATTCAAATGAAATTATCATATCCGTCAATTAATCGCGCTCTTCGGGGTTTCTTGTTAATCATTTTGTAGTACACAGTGGGTAATTGTGTATTGCTGTACCTATAAATAGAATGATGACCTTAACATTTTGAACGTCCGAAAATCTATTTATAGAAGTAGTTTTAGTTTAAAGAAACGGTCATTCGTGTAGCGCTATGGTTATAAATAACGAACTGGAGAATTTTGCAGGAAATGTAATATGAAACATATTAAAACAACTAATTGCACTTTGAATATTATAGACCTGTATATTTTGGATATTATCGTTAATATTGATAGAATTTCAAGTCCGCCATTCATAAATATGATACAATTCTGGTAAAAACCAATCAACCATTGAAAAGTTTATAAGAATATCTAGTCATCAGATGACTACTTGTTCATCTTCACTTGCTGCATTTCTTGCATGGACGCCCTTTGATGCTTTGCATCAATGCTTTTCTTGTCTCCTCTATAATAATACCTATTTAATCATGTTTCAATATTTTATGTAGCCATTTTCGTGACAATGCCTCTTTCCATTTATCCGTGCATACTATAGTGCATATATTATCACAAATATCAAAATAATTATTAATCTGTACTTTTCCATTGATTTGGTTCCCTTTTAAATGAAATAATGAAAAGAACCGAAACGAATACATTTCAAGCGAATACTAAAAAAATGGAAAATGGAAAGCATATTTAATTTATTTTTAATAGGTTCAAATCATTTTGGAATCGCCGGCTGGTATGGTCTGCATGCATTAAAGCACGGAATGATTGTAAGTTAAGTACGAAGGCGCATAGGTGTCATTGAAATAAATGCATATGTCCGGAATGAAGATTCCTTTAACATTAATTCTATCGGAATTAAACAAAAACAATCAAACTATTAAATAATTTGTATCTTGGATTCCAGTATATTCCAACTTTAATACTGATATATTCAAATAAATAAATGATATAAACCACTCAATGTATATTTGGTAATGTATGTTTTTTTTTTCTTTTTAGATATTACTTAAGTTATTTTAATTACTCTTCTAAAATAGGTCATACTCTTGCTCTTATATTTTCATATAACTTTTTTTCTACGAAATAGCTCACCAAAGATATTACCAGTCTGAATCATTAGCATTGTTTATCACTGTTAATCTAAAAGGATATTATTTCTATCATGTAGGGTATGGCATTTACAAATACATCACCTTTGTTGGTTCCCACAAGAGCCAAACAGGAAGTGCTGGGTACCAATCCAATATGTGTTGCGGCACCAGCCAAAGATGGCGATAGTTTCGTATTTGATATGGCTAACTGCCGTGGCGTTAGGAAAGGTTAAACTTACGTTTTAATTTTGGTTCCATTGTTTCGGGCATTGCATTAAAGTACAATGAACAATGTGTACCATCTCGTTATAGATTGACGGCAGATTCGTTTGAGGTGGCCGGTTAAGTTCTTTAATAAACTTAAAAGTAACAGGACTTGAAAGTTATAGGAACGACATATCACAAAAGATTATCAACAAATGGTGTATTCATATTGTCTATGACTGGTGCCGTCTTAAAATGTAAATCGATCTTTTCATTGATGACATTATTTTCTTTCCGGGCACGACATACATTTTAACAATTATTTTACCTTTCTATCTTGTATATTTGGAGCAATCATGTGATTTTTCTACGAATATACACATATGTCTTTATAATGTAGATATGAATCCTCAAAGTAAATAGCAATGTCAGGCGTATATTATGAGATTATTAAACATTGTAAAGTACAATACTGTAATTCTGCCAATAATTTTAGATAGACTTAGCGGACCGCAAGGATCAACCTATACCTGTTGGCTGGGCAGTGGATAAAGATGGGAAATCAACAACAGACCCTAAACAAGCAACAGGTTTAAGTCCTCTGGAAGGAGCAGAGAATACATATATGTGTATATTTAAATAGGTCTTATTACTTCAACTTTTTTTACCTTCAAAAGCCAGTCTTCTCCTTTTTATTTGATGAATCATGATTGCACTACTGTTCGTTCACAATGCTTTTGTTTGTTCTAAACTTCTTCCTGAAGCCATTAAAGTTTAAGGAATCCAGCATCCTCGGTTTCCCTTGATATATATTCTGTACATACTAATTAAATTAAAGTAAATACAGGTAATGTGGCGGTTGAGTTGGCAGTTTACCCTCCGTATCACGACAGGGAGCCATATTGAATTTACCAGACCACAGTTCAGCCTATGCATCGTTCCTGGGTAAACTGTCAAGCAGTTCATTTTCACTATTTTCACTTTCGCAAGGAACTGATAACTTCTGTACATGTCAGAGCAGAGATACAGCGTGAATGACTTCAGAAGGGATATCATGATTGATCAATCACAACGACAGTGACCAGCGCCGTCCGGGAATCGAATCCGGGTCGTCCGATTCACAGTCTATCGATTGAGCTAACCGGACGGATTATGTAAGGATTGCAGTATGTACGGAATATACACCGTGTGTCACAAACGATTGGAATTCCGATGAAGCTTGAGACCCTGCTAAACTTCACAATGATGGAACTTGTAACAGGATCGAATGATAGGGCAAAGTATGCTTTTGTCAAAAATATTATTTACCTTATATTTCTCCATTCTTAAACTGTTAATCAAGTCAGCACGAAGATAAAGTGTGTTTTATTTGTTTTAAGCCGGGTACAAGGGATATTAGTAGTCGATGATGGTAGACATTTTCTGTGGAATACTCAGTGGTGCTCACCATGTCCGAAAATGGAAGGAATCTCAGCAAAGACAAGCAAACTTGGTACACAAAACTTATCTGATCTTTGGGTTATAAGATATAAAATGTAATGAAAATTATTAAATTAATTATAAGCAGGTACTTTATGTCCGATTGTTCTAAAGCGACTTCATGTAGCAAATTTCGAAAGTAAACATTCCTCGAAACAAATTAAAATACTTCAATACTAGCTTTGGCTTTTTTGTCAAACCGGTATTTCGGTTTAAAGATGCATGTAATGTTAAAACAGATACAAGTTTACTTCAAATTTCAACCAGCATTAACAAGCCTTCCATTGTCAAATTCACAGTTATTCCATCGAAATCACCATGCCAGCGTTATTTCGGTTTCAATATTTCTGTGTATGTATTCTACGCGTAATAAGGGTCAATCCAGCCTTTCAGGCACTGAGAGTACGGACCCTTTTGACATATCACACCACAAACTGTCTTCTATAGCCGTGTTGATACAAAAGGTCATACTCTCGTTTTCAGGGCCAGTGCTTTGTTGCAGTAGACCCGGAAGCGTTTGCGCCTGGGTTTGCAGACAGACTAAGTGATCTCATGCTACATTGTAGGAATCTTGAACCAGTAAGTATATACATTGAATGTCGAAAACATTTATTACCCTCCGTGGGATGTTATATACTTGGGATCTTGCTATCCATGTCTCTATTGAGTGGTTTACAAAAATCTTAAACAGTGAATGGATTAATTACATCGTGTTAAACTTATTTAGTTGCTGATAGATTGAAGTAAGCGAGAATCTTTGCATATAAACAGTTAAGTTCAGAAAACTGTAAATACAGTATGCATTCACTTATGTTTAATTTACCAATTTCTCTTTGTTCGATTGTGTTGAAAGTGTATTTGAACACTTTCGAAACCGTTTCTGGCACCAAGCAGTACCAAGCAATGCGTGCAAAGTTTCTTGCCCAATAAAACAACGTCTTGCCCCTGAAAGGATTTGAACCCACGCGGCCAGCTATCCGTAGATTGCTAATATAATCCTTAGATTACTAGTCCGGCGCGCTAAGTTCTCGGCCATTCCACCACACTTCTTGCACATTTTATAAACAAATCTCGTTATAGCAATTTAACATTTGATATTAGTTGATATATAGAAAACTGTCAAAAATCAAAATGCAAGTCGAATATGAATCAATAAATCATATTTTAATCTAGGCAGATGGTCAATCAGAAGTGTTGGTAGCCGGTGATCCGGAGAGGATACACATGGAAAAATGTGACAATCAAGGTGGAATCTGGTACCATCCAAACCAAATTAAAAATGCCGTAAGTTTTTTTAACTTTAACCTTGGATTGACCGTAACGCGTCTGTGAATAATTGCTTAAATATATATTGATGATTTATTCTCATTTGTCATTTAAGCTTGTTATTGTAATTAATTAATTAATTAATTAATTAACAAGCAGTTTTGACCTCCGAGAGATTATCCACAACAACGTTGACTTTTGGTATGTAATATACCGTTTTATGTGCTGACTTTTATGAAATTACATTTTTAGACAGTAAAGCAGAAATCCAGCTGATTTTCAAAGAAACTATCATTTTGCTAACAGATATACATTCATTGAATGGAAATTTAGTACATATGTACATGCGAAGCATTATTTATTGATGCACTCACACCCTGGTATTGTCGTTTGCCAACATTTTCAAAACAACATGCATATTTTTGCATTAACAAACGCTTTTAAAGCAGCATGCCTCCATATTTATGCTTATTGTCATGAATTTTTTTTAAAGTTAAATATTGTGAGGTGATCAAAGAAAGTAATTAACACATTGCAAACGGTACTTACAATCCACGTTAATAACCAAAAAGATGTCAAAATATACATAAATACCTCTTACTGCATTAGTAACGCAGTAGAATTACAGTGACTGATACTGCAAAAACTGTCATTAATCGCATATAACATGTAAATGATTAATTAAATATTGAATATTATAACTTTTCTATAGATCTTAATACATTTTTCTAAAGACTTTCTTGAAATATTTTGGCTCATCTGGAGGCGTGCAGCTTTAAAGATTTATAATTATCATGCCCTTACCAATGAATCTAGTCATGCACAAATTATGAGCCTGTCTTTATAAGATTTTACTTTTTCAAATTGTGCTTTTGTCCTCGGCCGTCTACATATTTTATGAAATTTAAAGGATATAATAACCATACCTCTCGATCTTTATAATCTTTTTGTAATGGAATAATTTATACAGTATAATGTATGTACAAATAAATATTAAAATCAACTCGACAGACAATATATATACTCGATGTAATATAGAATATTTTTTATTTTATTTCAGAATGATATAGCTGCGTCATTACAAATTGAGCCAATGAAAACACTGTAGAAGGCTGAACGCAAATTCAAGATCACAGTCAAATGGACACACTGTCAAATCATTTTTACTATGTGCTACTGTTGTGTATTATTACAATTACTGAATATTTATATGTGTTGTACTTCTTTATAAACTTCTTTATAACAAAGGAATAATCATCCGCTATCTAAAAGGACAAAGCACATTTCAATCACATATTTCCTTCAAACTTAATACAAGAATTATGAATACATGTTATAGCCGAGAAGTTCCGATTGAGTACATTTATAAAGATAATTCTCACATATAATTGCAGCTATCTTAAAGCACTTGATGCCTTAGAAACAAATAAATTATTTCCTTGTTCAGATAAGGCAAACATGAGTTTTATAAAGAGTAAATAATGGTTTTAGAGCATGTAAGATGCTTGTCACCTAAAATGTAGCACTTTTATATATCATAAAAATGGCAAACTGTAATCAATATAGTATTTTGACATCCATATAAAATACTGAATCTCTACAATTGTACTAACTAATTGCAAAACAGTAACGGAAGCAAAATATGTTATTGACCGGTAAAATCTTTTTGGAAACCATAACATGAGATTAAAATTCACAAGCTTTTGAAAAATATAGATAAAATCATTTCTAGGGCATAATGGGCCTTTAAGCACAATAATGTGTTATTAAATACTCGTGTATAATGAGACACTCTATGAAAGAATATGGCATACAAATAACAAATTGGAACAACAACAACAAATGGTGTAGGCCTACGGTATCCGTTTCGCCAGAACCAAATACATGATTGTAATTGTAGTTCAAAAAAGCTATGCAGTAGTTCGATACAAAAGTAAATCTATAATATTTTAAATATAAATACCATGTTTTTTTAAACGACAGTGAGTCGAATGCTTTCGTTTGCCATAATAACTGTACTCAAATGTTCTGGAAAACCTTTAGATTTTATTAATGTTAATAAACACACTTAACTCTGCGTTTTACAAGGGGAAAAATAGTTGTCTCTTGCTATGCGTTTTGCAAACTCCCCGAAGCAGTTACTTCCCCTTATCATAAGATTAAAAAGCTAAACTCCCAAATACTTTAAGTTTCTTTTATATTTAATTATTTACGCTTTTTGTATATTAATGAATATTTCGTAAAAATAACGAAAGTATGTTGGACGGTAACAAAATGGCTGCTATTTTGGTATTGTGTCCTCAAAACGTCCCGAGTTGATTTCGTTTTGACCTGCACAAGAGAAACAGCATTACCGTGACCGTCACTTTACACGAGTTATATAAAAACTCGTACACTGTACTGTAGAATTCATGAAAAAATAAAATGACTAATACTCTTCTGGAGGACTCGCCCATATGGGCAACCGGTGGCGGGTATAAATAAACGCAAATACACACACAAAAGTAGAATTCATGTACTTGTGTTTGTAGAGTTAACATGCAGAATTCATTTGTCTATAGAAGTTTTTTTTTAAATATTCTCGCTCCTTAATGAATTCAAGTGGGAACAATGTCGAATATTGAAAATGTTAAAATGCTAGATTATCTAGTGTGCAGATCTATTTAATATATCAGTATACATACCAGGGTTAAAATATAGATCTACATGTTTATAGTAGTAGCTGAAGGTGCTGAAATTTAACTTCCGTTCCTACATGAAGAGGCTCTAGCTGATTAAATATAAGAAGATATTCAGTGTGAATTTAGATTCATTGTAAATAAATCGTTTTATTTTATTCTTTAAACTGACGCAAGTTCTTTATTTCTTTAAAAATGAATAAATCTAGCAATAGATTAATTTGTTTTGAATCAGTTAGTTTTTGACGAATTATATGGCAAAGAAGACCACCATAACTCTAGACAAGGACTACTAGCGTTGTTTAAATGTAACATTGTTTGACTTTGACTTTTCAATTTTACAGATTGAGGAAAGCCTGAAATGAGTGGACGTAGACTGTCTGTAGAATCTAAAAATTGAACAAAAAGCAATCAGTCTTAATGTAACACTCGACTTTAGTTATATTATAATGATATGATCTTTTCAAAATTTTAACTAAATATGTTTGAATGGAAAACAATCGAGTATAAACGGGTTTATTTGCTTTACTATTTTTAGGTTTTATATCTTGTCTTATTAATTAGATGTTATTGTCATGTCATGAGAAAAGTTCAGAAAAATCAATCAATATCAATCGATAGCAAGCTTGGAATCTAGAATCATGACTCATTTCACATATTGCATGTCCATTACAACCATGAAAAAAAGAAGATAAAAATGATGATAAAGTGTTAACAATACAAATATAGACATTTAATGATCAAGCAACCTGTTCATGTACTCAATTAGTCGTCAATTAAAATATATACTTTTAACGGAAATACATACTCGAATATACAAAAAGATATTTCGAAACAACAATAATTCAGTTTATTTAAAGGCCCATTATGATTCAGAAATGCTTTTTTTTATTTCCCAAAAAAGAATTTTGTTACAGTTTTCACAGTAATACTCATTTGCCATATAAATGGACTATATTTTGCAACTAAAGCTCTGTTGGTAATCGGTATCATTATTAAAGTGAATTAGTATTTTGTATGGCAGTCAAACTACTACTTTGTTTACTTTTTGCTACCTTTATGACACATTACTCACATTTAGAGCTGCGTTAGTCAGTTGTTAGACATCTAAAATGCCCTAAATCCATTATTCAAACACAATAAAACACAAATTTGACATATCAAAAGAATAAGAAATATAAAAATATACGTAATAGTAATTTTATTTTGACGTTCACCAACATTATGATACATTACATTGTAATACAAAGTTCATCATTTATAATACAAAAGATACATTACATTTGTAATACAAAGTTCATCATTTATAATACAAAAGATACATTACATTTGTAATACAAAGTTCATCATTTATAATACAAAAGATACATTACATTTGTAATACAAAGTTCATCATTTATAATACATTTGACACTCTACAAAGCTATACAATATTTGATTTTAAAACAAAATGTTATGTTGAAGGAAATATTCTTTAAGAACATTAAATTTTGCTAAATTCAGGTATGTTGTACCGATACGTCTAAAATCTAGTCGTTATGAAAACATTGATTTATGTAATAATAACTGATTTCATGGTAATAGCAGCATTTAAGAAGAGATACACATGTACTCGTTGTCCAATATATAGAAATGTTAGCAACTAATAAATGGTTGCTGATAATTTGGGAGAAAATTTTATAATATGAGATGTCATAAAAATAATAAGAATAATACACATTAATGAATTTATATGTACTATTGATAATGATTTACAATGTACAATGTACAATATTTCAGTAATAAAAAACTCGTTGATTTCTTCTGAATTCTTATTTCTTAGACTGACTATATATTTTTTTGGAATATAAAGTTGCATGAATTCAAAAATATCTCAACTTTTGATTTTGTTATTTTTACTGATGACTAAACGTGCTGTATTACTTGTTAAACATAATAATGTCAAAATCAATGTCTTCAATATGATATTTTAAACTTCTGTAGTTTTGTCTCACCGCCACATACGTTTGCTATTGCAAGAAATGATTTATCACGTGAGATACAAATTCTACTTGGATAGTTCATATCTATCTTGTACGATGATAATATTTGTCCAGTTTGTGATATCTGTACAATGGAGTTTGTATTTTCACTACAAACCAGGATAGTATCAGAGGGACCAACTGCTACACCACGCGGCTCCTTTATCTGATCATCCTTCACCACGACTCTCGTGTTTGTCTTGACGTCATATATGTAGACAGTATGCTCGTATCTATCTGTAAGCACCACTTTATCACTGCTCCTTATGTAAGTACAAGCGCTTGTGCCTATAGGATATGACTTATTCGGAAAGTTAATATTGAAATCTTTCTCTTCTCCTGTAGATGATATAATACGAACAGGTGTTGAATGATCAATTGTCCCGCCGACAAAATGTTTATCATCTTTTTGACATATCGAGTCATATTTTGATGTCACTTTAATTGTTCTATCTAAAGTTATGTCATTAGATTTGTTAACATTGAGAATGTCTAACTTTAAATCCATTGGCACTTGTGACCGCTACTTCCTCATCACATACAGCAACAACGGATTGTGGAGGGTAAGATAACTGATATGATCCTGCTTTCTCAAGCTTCTCATTGTAAACTAATAATTTCTTGTTTTTATTATCCACAGCAACAAGTCTACCATCAGGTAAAAAATCAATCCCTGTATAATATGGCTCTTTGTCATCATCCTTTTTCTGCTTTAAATCAATGGACTTTATTGGTGTAAGTATCATTGCTTTGTTAACAGGAGATATAGTACTGGCTACCTCTGATAGACAGGATTTTAAAGTCAGCTGTCCTGGTATATAATCAGTGACTGACAGAGGAGGAAGTTTTAATGTTTCATCAAAATCAAAGCTTACTGTCACTGTCTTTAAATCATGACATTCTGCATCGACATTTGTGTGAAGAACATCGACGTCATTCTTCATCTTCTGCTCTACTATGAACTGTTGTGCCAAAGATCCGTTCTGATACACGTCGTCAATCGTTTCCAGATATGCTGTTATATCAGCTAGATATTTTTCGTTCTGAGACTGCTTTATTGTCAGCTTGTCTAATGTCTCTTTCCGAAACGATTGAACGTCTTTAACAACGGAAACTTCCAACTCGTCAAACATTTTCATTACTTCATCCCGCATTTGCCGTATTTTGACTGGTATTTCTTTAGCATCTTCATCTAGTTTCTCTTTTGATGAGACAATGCTGTCTACGATTTTGTACGCCTTCTGTCTCACTTCCTCCATTTTAACCTTTAACGTTGACTTTGTATTTGTTGACCTTCCGGCGACCTTCAGAATTTCCACAACGCTGTGACATTTACGATGACCAACAATAGCACATGTACTGCAGCAGAGCTGATTCTCATCTTCGCAGAAGAATTCTAGAACTTTCTGATGTTGATCACATTGGTCTAATCCTTTCATATCAAACGAGCCTTGTTTCGTTTTCGACTCATTTGCATTCACTAACTTGTGACTTTTTAAGAAGGCGTGAGTGTAGTGAACTTTGGAACAATCCAAACACTGAAATTCATTACAAGTTGGACAAAACTTGTCCGCTGTTGTTTGTTTATTGTTATTGAAACATGGTTGACACATAATTCCCTTAACTCGCCCAGACACTTCATTTCCTGCATTGTTTTCAGCCATTTTGAAATAACGTTAATCCTATCAAATGCAATGTCTATATACCTGTGTGTTATATTTGTACTTTGTACCCGGTTACTGTCGCTACATGTAGTCGGAATGCGGAAGTAAATAAAACAATTTAATTCATACGGATCCCCTTTGCATTTATGCTTTTTAATCGGTAGCTAACGAATGGGTTTTTTTTCAATCGCTACTTTTCGGCCCTTTCCGTCAATTTACGGATAAGGACATTATAACTGACAGCCGGGGACGATCCGATTGATGTTTTTTTCTTTATTAAATTGGTGTATAACAAATGGGTTTTTAACTTATTAGTTGATTCATCTGCTCATTATTGTCTGCATTTTATACTCATTCTACGCTATGTATAGGTTTAATGTCTTTTTCGATCAATCAGATAAAAATTGAGTGTACAACAATAATAATGGGTAGAATTTATGTATGAAAATTATAAAAAGCAGGGCGATATAGTCGTCTGCTATTAAAGATATTTAATACATGTATAGTGCGAATTACGAGATAACACAGATCAATGAAGAAGAAAGCACAACATAGATTCACATGTAGAACATCTTCGTTTTAAATCGTGAATACTAGATTATTGGTTATCATGACAAACAAGGTCAGAAGTCATTATTTATGTTAAGATATATAGAAGAGGATCTTACATGTTGAATTTGTTATCGAGTTTAATTACAGTTATAACATTCAAGGCTGTGCTGAATGTAAGACTCCTCTTATCATGAAAACCTTGGACATAATTAATATTATATCGATTAACAATGATAATTAATTCACAGATGTAGAAACTTGTTTTTTGGCATACAATGTTTGTCTTGAATTTGTTATTAGTTTCTTACTCATAAAGCCCGTCTGATTAATTCATTATTTTATTAATTCACTCATTCACTCACTCACTCACTCACTCATTCACTATCTCACTCACTCATTCATTCATTCACTCACTCATTCATTCATTAAATCATTCACTCACTCACTCACGCATTCACTGGTTCACATTTACTCATTGACACACTCACTCATTCCTTCACTCACTCACTCACTCACTCACTCACTCACTCATTCATTTATTAATTCATTTTAGACATGTATATAACTGACGTGAAAACGAAGACAACCGTGGCAATTGGAAATCCAGAAATTGTCAAGGAAACCATAGCAACAGCGTTGGTAGAAGGCAATAATATCCTAGGTAAATATCAAATGATTTTATCGTACATCGTACGTTTTTGATATGTATCATATGAATTACATGTATGTACATGTATGCTATTTTCATATGTATATGTGTCAGCTTTTTGTACAAAATTGAGTTTTGAAATACACTATTACACATAGTTCTGGAGACGCAGACTGTTTAAAGCGAACATATACGAAGGAATAAATATGTACTCAAAATGTTCATTACATATCTCATACAGCCTTGCCGTACATTATAATCTTAATTTATGGAGAGTAAAAGGCAACTCGAATATGAAAATATAGATACTGCAACTTTTCGAGATTTTCATATTTTTCATATTTGTTATGGGACCTGTGATTGGTCGGTTTTGCATGGACCTTGCCATTAAGAAAGAAAAAGACGCTGGAAATGGCTGGGTGTCGGCACGAGGTATATCCTTACGCAAGTGACTTAAAATCAATAAAATTGAAAGGATTTATATGTATAAATTATTAAGAATAAATATATTCTTTTTAAAAATTTCCTTGTAATTTTCATTTAGCATTGTACGTATTGTAAAACCTAAGAGTTTATTGAAATGATAAAAAATTCAAATGTTTGAATACAATGGATCACACGTTGTTAGTTCATATTGGATATGAAGTGACAAGGCTTGCACAAATTTTTGCAGCAGTTTCTTTACTTGTTATGTCCCCTTTAATTATTAGATCAATTTTTAATCATGTTTCAATATTTTATGTAGCCATTGTCATGACAATGCTGCTTTCCATTTATCCGTGCATACCATAGTATATATATTATCACAGATATACAAATAATTATTAACCTGTACTTTTCCATTTATTTGGTGCCTTTTTAAATGAAATAATAAAAGAAACGATACTTATAAGCTAATACTGTACAAAATGAAAAAGGTAAATTATATTTAACTTATTTTGAATAGGTTCAAATCATTTTGGAATCGCCGACTGGTATGGTCTGCATGCTTTAAAACACGGAATGATTGTAAGTTGAACAAAATAAATTACGGAAGAGCATTGGTGCCATAAAATGCATATATCCTGAATGAGGAATCCTTAAAGTGACATTATGCTCATTTTTTCATTGTAGAGTAGAGCAGAATTTATTAAATATATTTTAAAATATTGATAGTCGTTATAGTGGTTGATCAACAGATAATATTGGAAAATATTTAGGATAAATTATAAATCTGCCTATAATGTTAAAGGACTGTCCCACTCTTTTTATAAATTGAATGTTACAGATAAACTCTGACGTATATTTACCGAAAATTTCATGGGCCATATGAGTTATTTATTGTTTATGCAAAGTAAATTATAAAATTGAAAGGAAGTATGGCAAAGTGAACTTCTTTTGTCTTTCACCTGTTCACTCACTTATACCCTTGAATAGGTATAACATCACATTAAACTTTATTTGTTTCAGAATGAAACAAAAAAAGTCAAACTATTAAATCGTTTGTTTCTTGGCTTCCAGTATATTCCAACTTTTATACTGATATATTCAAATAAATAAATGTTATATACCACTCAATGTATATTTGGTTATGTAAGTTATTCTCTAGGTATTACTTAAGTTATTTTAACTACTCTTCAAAAGTAGATCATACTCTTGCTCTATTAGTTTCATAACTTTTTTCCTACTAAATAGATCACCACATATTAGCATTGCTTATCACTGTTAATCTAAAAAAACTTCTTTAAGGATATTTTTCTTTTATATAGGCTTTGGTATTTACAAATACATCACCTTTGCTGGTTCCCAAGAGAGACTAACAGGAAGTGCTGGGTACCAATCCGATATGTGTTGTTGCACCAGCCAAAGATGGCACTTGTTTCGTATTAGATATGGCTACCACTGCCGTGGAGTTAGGAAATGTTTAACTTAAGTTTTCATTTTGGTTCCATTGTTTCGGACATTGCTTGAAAGTAAAGTGAACAATGTGCGCCATCTCGTTATAGATTAACGGCAAATTCGTTTGAGGTGGCCGGTTAAGTTCTTTACTAAACTTTAAGGTAACAGGACTTGAAAGTAATAGGAACAACATATCACAAAAAGAGTTTACATAAATACTTATGTTCACGTTGTCTATGACTGGTGCCGTCTTAAAATGTTACAAGATCTTTTCATTGATGACATTATTTTTACGGCACAATATATATTTGAACAATTATTTTACCTTTCTATCTTTTATATTAGGAGCAATCTACGAATATACACATATTCATTTATAATGTAGATATGAATCCTCTTTACTAAGTATATAGCAATGTCAGGCGTATTATGAGATTATCAAACATTGTAAAGTACAATACTGTAATTCTGCCAATAATTTTAGATAGAATCAGCGGACCGCAAGGATCAACCTATACCTGTTGGCTGGGCAGTGGATAAAGATGGGAAATCAACAACAGACCCTAAACAAGCAACAGGTTTAAGTCCTCTGAGTGGAGCAGAGAATACATGTATGTGTATATTTAAATAAGTCTTATCACTTCAACTTTTTTTTACCTTCAAAAGCCATTATTGTCCTTATTTTTATTTGATGAATCATGATTTCACTACTGTTCGTTCACAATGCTTTTGTTTGTTCTAAACTTCTTCCTGAAGCAATTAAAGTTTAAGGAATCCCGCATCCTCGGTTTCCCTTGATATATATTCTGTACATACTAATTAAATTAAAGTAAATATAGGTAATGTGGCGGTTGTGTTGGCAGTTTACCCTCCCTATCACGAGAAGGAGCCATATTGAATTTACCAGACCACGGTTCAGCCACCGCATCGTTCCTGGGTAAACTGTCAAGCAGTTTCACTATTTTCACTTTCGCAAGGAACTGATTACTTCTCTACATGCCAGAGCATACGTACTGCGTGAATGACATTAGAAGGGATTTCATGATTGATCAATCAGAAATCGAATCTGGGTCGGCCGATTCACAGTCTACCGATTGAGCTAACCGAAGGATTATGTAAGTATTGTAGTATGTACGGAATATATACCGTGTGTCACCAACGATGGGAATTCCGTTGTGTCAAAGCTTGAGTTCCTGTTATGTTTCACCATGATGGAGCTTGTAACATGAATAATAGGTCAAAGTATGCTTTTGCCGAAACAAATTATATTAACTATTATCTATTTATTTACGAAAAATAAAGTGTGTTTTATTTGTTTTCAGCTGGGTACAAGGGCTATGGGTTGTCAATGATGGTAGAGATTTTCTGTGGAATACTCAGTGGTGCCAATTACGCTCACAATGTCCGGAAATGGAAAAAAATCTCATAGACAAGCAAACTTGGTACACAAACCTTATCCGGTCTTTGGGTTATTAGATCTAAAAAAAACTTAAAATTTAAATGAGCCAAAACATGCACTTAATGTCTGATTATTCTAAAACAACAGCAAACATCTCTCGAATCAAGTTAAAATACTAGTATTCATTAACTTTTACTTTTTTGTTATACCGATATTTTATTTTAAAGATACATTCAATATTGAAACAGATACTTCAAATTTCAACCATCATTTACAAGCCTTCCAACGAAATCATCCATCGTTATTTTGGCTTCGACATGTCACACCACACGCTGTCTGTCATAGCCGTGCTAATACTGAGACCAAACTCTCATTTCAGGGCCAATGCTTGGTTGCAGTAGATCCGGAAGCGTTTGCACCTGGGTTTGGAGACAGACTAAGTGATCTCATGCTACATTGTAGGAATCTTGAACCAGTAAGTCTATGCATTGAATGCCACAAACATTTATTTTACCTTACGCGATTCATTTTTTATATAGCTGTATGTCACATCAGAGTGTAACAATTTTCGAACCGCTGACAACCGAATGGCCCTCACTCCAAATGTCTGGTTTCAGCTTTAAAAAAAATGTTCTTGAATATTGACCTTTTTGGGTAAAATAAAATAAATATCTCATCCCACTGTTTTGCAGAACAATTGTAGTTACATACTGAGTGGTTTGTTTAACAGAGAAAAGACTAAAATGTTTAAGTTGCTGAATGGTTGAAAGAGGGAATGCTTGTTCATCAAGCATTGTTCCATACAGTTAGCGAGAATCTTTGCAAACAAACATAGATAATTTGTCAAATAGATAAATGCTGGTCGGATATGAATCAATAAAAAATATTTTAATCTAGGCAGATGGTCAATCAGAGGTGTTGGTAGCCGGTGATTCAGAGAAAATACACATGGAAAAATGTGACAATCAAGGTGGAATCTGGTACCATCCAAACCAAATTAAAAATGTCGTAAGTTTGTGTTTTTTTCCACTTTGTTCCCGAATTGAGGGTTGTACGTACAAGAACAATCTGGGTTATTCTACCGAGAATGGTTTACAGGCATAAGCCTGCCGTTATTAGCTGTCACAAACATTATAAGCTTTTATTTTTCCGGACTCTTTTGCACTTGACCTGTACATTTTACTTCTTTTAAAAGATGGCAGTAACCATATTACTTAAAGGAACTCGACTGGGGTCAAAAAGCATTGAAACATCAAATTTGAATTTGTCTTATAGAGCAGCTGGAACACTTAAACAGAAAGAAATGCAAAAGAAAATTTTGAAATATAAACAGAAATAAATTGAAGAATCGGGTTCCAATGCTATTCTTACCCCAATTTGAGTGACGACTCTTGCGGAGTCCCTTTAACTTGGAACACAGTTACCTACACTGATATCTAGAAGCTTCTGTAATTAAAACAATACTACAGAATAATGGCTGTACAAATAATAATTTAAATAAAATAAGTTTGAAAAATGGGCACACTGTCAAAACAATTTTACAATGTGCTATTGCTGTATTATTTCAATTACAGATGATATACATGTGTTGTACTTTAAAAATAACTTCTTCATAATAAAGGAAGAATCAAACGCCAACAAGTAGAACAAAGTAAATTTTCGCAACTTCTCGGCTCTTTCCGTCAATTTTCGTATAAGAATAATAGCCGAGAAGTTGGGATTGAGTACATTTATGCAATCGGAGCATCTCGGCTATTGTCAATAATTATCCGAAGACTTGCGGATATAGCCGAAAAGATGCGATTGACACTCATTCTGGAAGTCGTAAAAGGCAGATAATTCTGATAATTCACACACGCCTATCGAATTAATTGCAGCTTTCTTACGCACAATGTTTTTGTTATTAAGTATAAGTGTTTTTCTCCTATCCCTTTATATCATTGTGGTCAAATTAAACCTACCTTTAACTTCTTATTTGTTGTCCGTTGTACAAAACTACAAAATTTGAAAGTCGACAACATTAAACTCCATGTATTTCTCGACCCAACACTTTCCGGAAATGCTAGTTGATTCAAATTTCAAATTATTACCTTGAACATTAAAATCAAATTCTGATTCATTCATAATAATGGACCAAAATATAAAAGGTTTCTTTCATCTAGTCATACATACATTACAATATCAGAAACAACAATATACGAAATAAAAAATAGTCTTATATAAAGGTAATTTCCGCGAAAAAGTGAGAAAAGAAAATAACGAGAGAGAAATTATTAGATACACTTTGAAACAAAATATTTCATATAACTTTAACACATTTGAAAAAAGAGTGTACCGTATCCATTTCGCCCAAACTATATAATTGTAATTCAAAACAGAAATGCATTAGTGGATAAAAAATGTAAATCTATAATATTTTAACCATAAAAACCACGGTATTGCTAAACAACAATAGAAAGGGAACAGAAGATTTGCAGAAATCGCTTGTTTTGATGAATGAGTGTGTCACGGGTTATAACAAAAATACTACATACTCAAATGTTCTGATAAAAAACCTTTCTGATATACCATGGATAGCTTGTACACTTATTTGCGATAAAACACTGTGTTTCATCTCGTCAAAGCAAGCAAATAAAAGGATGCGAGCAAATAAAATGATGCGCATGTTCCATTTAAAAAAAACTCACGTGATATTTAGAAAATCATAACATCTAAACTGATTAGGGGAAGTGAATCGTGCTAGTGCAAACTCCCCGAAGCAGTTACTTCCCCTGATCAGTAGATACTTTTTTACATTTAATTATTGTGCGATTTGTACATTAATGAATATTTTGTAAAAATAACGAAAGTATTTTGTACGGTGTTCCGTTTGGACAATCGTGATTGTTTTATTTCGTCCGTACCCGCGATATAAGATGGTACGATGGTGTGAACATGCGATGGAAGCAAGGTAGGTGTTTCTTTAATATTCTTGCGCCTTTCAATATACAGAGTGAATTCAAGCGGGAACGCAGCTTTAAAGTGACATAATGCTCATTTCTTTCGTTATCAAGTTGAATGCCCCTGCTTTCAATGTTATCTTGGCAGTTTATTTTTTTTTAATCTGGATTTTCCGTTTTTATTTTGTTTGTTTTCTTGTGTTTTTTTTGTTCGTCTTTGTTGCTGTTGGTGTTGTCGTTGTTTTGCAAGAAATTGTTTAGGTTATTTTATACTTGTTTACTGTATATAATTTAACAATGTGGCGGAATATGCCACACGCCCTCTTAGAGTTGAATATTTTTATCTACAAAGTTGTACGCATTTTAATTCTACACAATCATACTATACATGATATGAAGCGATGCAGATGAAATACTGCCAGTGTTCAGAGTGAAAACGTGTCTAACAATATAATTTTCACATAGATATACTGATAAGAGGGTCACTTTAGAAGTTTAAAGTTATATTTACACGGTTCATGTGAATACAGGTGCCATATAAACTGGTGAGTATGTTATAATTATTTTCTATTATGAAATATGTGAAATAGTTTAAAGTTTATATTTATGCTAAGCTTACAGATTCCTTAACTAACAGCAGTGTTTTATAGATTAAGAATTGTTAGGTAAATATGTTTCATAAAGTATACATGTATGTTGCGTTAACTTGATTATGTTGTTAAACTCGTGCTATGCAGTATATCCTCTACAAAGCAACACTCTACGTTTCAGAGGTAAAATATAATGGTTACCTTTACTTTGTGAAGAAATGATATGGTTGTTGTAGAGGTAAATGCTATACAGAGGGCCGCTCTGAAGATTACCGTTTGTCGGTTCAAACAAATATTTGTGTGTTCTTTTTCTTTGTTTTATCTCAAAGATATTTGATACAGTTGTCTTATTTCATTATGCAGTGCAGTCAAACGTGATTTTAATGAATTTACATTACGGCATTTGTTAGCAGGTGGTCTATCAAAATGTCATTTTTGTATCGCATACGAAAAAGTATATGAAACTTTTAAAGTGAACGGTTTTATGTACGGTGTCGACCAATAGTCCAATCGGTCTTTAATTTAAGATGATCTTTAAGCGCAGATTTGTCTGTTGATATTATGAGGTTATTATTCATTGTTGAGTAAAATACAGAATTCTGTTGGAACAACTACACACCTGTCAATCCTATATTGGATGAGCCGAGTCTATAATAGGTTTTGCAGCTGTGTAAAAGTACTACAGATTCAGCATTTTACTTAACCATGTATCACATAATGACGTACCATCAACCATCAAATTTTTAATATTTTTGCAGAACTTTGATAATTTGAGTACAATAAGGAATCGATATGATTTTTGTGGACTCTGAAAATGAAAACGAGGAGGCTAAATGGAGTACAATAGCAATTTGAAATGGATTGTTAGAAATATCATATTTAATTACAACAAAGTGGTTTCTGACTTAGATATTCAGTCTAATACTCCAACAACTTGAGACTGCAATACTTCTAAATTCTGTAATTCAGATTTTGGCCATATAATCACTGGTAATTTTGATATAATTGCAGACAAAAGAATTCGTAACTTATTCTTGAAAGGACCTAAATACAGAATTCCTTCTGAGATTGATTTTAATGCTTGTCGTGGTCAGATTGCTGAATCTATAGAGGATTTTTCGGTCAAATGGTGTCGCCGTGAAAATGCGGATAGTAATGCTCTAGTTACATGGAAACGTAACATCTTTAAAATTATTGATTCACGTATTAATTTTTATCGTGGAAATGAACATCTTTTGCCACCTAAACCAAGACTTACTTTAAGACATCTGAAAAAAGATATTCTAGCTTTTCATTCAAAATTTGTTTTGGTGCCAGCGGACAAGGCGGCTAATAATATTATAATTGTTTGACGAATCCATTACATTAACGTTTTGCATAAGGAACTAAATAGCACTAATGCGTATTCTAAAACCTCTGCCTCCGAAAAAGACATTGTAAACAATCATATTACTAATATTTCTAATCTTACAGTCCAAATTAATGAAAAAGAACTCAAACTTCCTATTATGTATTGGATTCCTAAATTACATAAAAAACCTTACAAAGCCAGATTTATTGCTAATTCTACATCTTGCACTACAAGTAAACTTTCTATTTTATTGACGTCTTGTTTGACTGCCATTAAAACACATGTAATTAGATATTGTGATAAAGTCTATGAAAACACAGGCAAACATCTCTTTTGGTCAATTAAAAATTCTGGTGAAATCTTGGATAAATTCAAAATTAATAACTTTCAAGCTTCAACTGTCAGTACATACGATTTTTCTACACTTTATACAACTTTGCCACATAAATTAATCAATGATAAACTAATTTCCCTAATTCAGAAAACTTTTGCACGGGAAAAAGTTACCTTTCTAGCATGTAATTCGAACAAAGCTTTTTTTACTAACGGTATTGTTAAACATTATACTATGTGGACCTGTGACGAAGTTTGTAGAGCACTCTCTTTTCTTTTAGACAACATTTATGTCAGGTTTGGTAATACCCTATTTAAACAGATCATAGGAATTCCTATGGGTACTAATTGTGCACCCCTGGTCGCCGATTTGTTTTTGTACTGCTATGAAAGAGACTTTATGTTGAGTCTCTCTGAAGAGAAACAACAAGATGTTATAGTCGCATTTAATAATACTTCCAGATACCTTGATGATATTTTTAATTTAGATAATCCTTATTTTGATCAAATGGTGTCTGACATTTATCCGCATGAACTACAACTTAATAAAACGAACTCTTGAAATTTTAGTACATCATTTTTGGATCTTCATATTACTATCAACAACAATTCTATTCACACGAAAATTTATGATAAAAGAGATGACTTTGACTTTTGTATAGTTAATTATCCACATTTGGATGGAGACGTACCCCATGCAACATCTTACGGGGTTTATGTTTCTCAGTTAATTAGATTCGCTAGAGCTTGTAACAACGTAAAGGATTTCAACGAGCGGAATATTTTTATTACCAGCAAGCTTCTAAAACAGGGCTACCGCTATCATAAATTACGGAAATATTTTACTAAATTTTACAATCGTAACTTTGATTTAATTTCTAAATTTAATAGTGATTTAAAAACTCTTCTGCGACAAGGGATTAGCCAGCCTGGTTTTTATGGCGATGTGGTTTACAAACTTCGTAAGATTTTGGGTCATGGTAATTTTTCTGCTGTTTTTACTAAAATTATTAAACGTTTTATTAAAAGAGGTTATGACCCTACTATTTTAAGACATACTGCATGTTTAGTGTTCAACCCTTTTACAGTTGGACACTACGCTTTCCTCTTTTGATTGCATCTGACGGACCAAGTGGGAGACTCTATGATGGATAGTTCGTAAAGCCCTTTGGGACTGAATTGTCTTAATGTTCGTCTTCTGCCTTGCTTCGTCGGGCCCTTGTAGGTGATTTTCTTGTTGCTCTGTCTTCCTTTAGGACATTGAGTACTTTTGTTATGGTCATTGGGTTTACTTTTATATGTTTCTACATGATCATTTTAGTGTTTTACTTCTTTAACCTTTTGTAACCATGACAACTGTTAGAATTTCACTTGGCGGGGATTCATTTTATTTACACTGTCTCGTTTATAGGAACATGGTGGGGCTAAGAGCGAGGTTTGGTGCACCATTAACCGGTTTAAACTCCCCAGCAGTCATTATTATGCTGCTGACCGTTCCAAGGCGGCGCCCCACTGTGTTCCTCAGATGTATGTCTATGTTGTTTCATACTGTTTTGGTGACACTTTTGCTTGTGTCCCTTGTTGTTTTCTCGTCTACGGTAAGTATCTTCCCCATTGCCTCTAGTTTTTATTTCTTTGATTACCCCCCCCCTTCCCCCGGTCTCCTTCCCCTTTGTGGGCCTATTATTATTTTCTTTGAATTCCTTATCAGTTACAAATTATTTATCATTTAATGATTAACGTGTCGTTGCCCTGTCCTTTTTATGTTTGGGGTCCGCCTGGGCTCCATGCCATTGGTTCTTGTTGCTGGTTCATATGGGGGTTGCGTTCATTGAACGCCGCCTTTCCTTGTTGATCTTGTTTTTCATATTTGATAGAGTGCAATATCGATTTGATATGGGTTTTTTTTTTTGGACTGGCAAAACGAAAATGCTGCTAATTTGAGAAGATTTGATCTAATAATCATTTGTATTGGGAGATTTGATTACATTTTATAAGGTGTGAAATGAAAGTATTGGCCATATACTTAATGTATTCTTGTGCATTTCAACAATAAGCTAATGTAGTAATTTTACGCTACAAAATGCGATACGCACTTTCATTAATAAAGATGTGACACTACATATATGTCACCTTATTGACACGTGAATATTTCTGAATATTTTGGTCACGCGGATAACTGAGTAAAACCTTTATGATTATAAAACAATGTCACTTATGTTGTTGCATTTGTTTTATGTATCGATAGTTTCAAATTTGTTTCGACTATAGTTAATTCATATATTATCTATTTCCTTATTTTTCTTCATTTTATAATATCTTTTAATACTTAATCGGGCAATTACTGTGCATATGGAGCACTGAAGAATTAAAACTATTTCCTTATTAAGATCGAAATAATCCAATGAAATCAGCTTTTTCACGCTTATTTCGATATTTCTGACATGAAATATGTCGATTTTTGCATGTGTTATAGTGTATGCACATGTTTCCTTATATTGCATTTTCGTGACGTAACTTGGAAACAAGATTTTGTTAATAATTTACGTCAAAACAGATAGAAGATCTATAATAATATAAAATGGACAAATAAAACAGATAGCCGACAGTGTATGTGCTTAATTTCTATTCAAATTTAACTTCTTTTTTATTCCATAGTTTATTTCACAATGGCATCACAAGGCTCAATTGTACCCCTGCATGAGTTTCACGCGTTTGTCGTCAGGTGTATGAAAGCAGTTAGGATCTCAGAAGAACATGGATCATCCCTGGCTGATCTTCTGGTATCTGCAGATTACAGGGGCCACTACAGTCACGGCTTGAACAGACTGGGTGAGTTTTGTATAAGTTTATATATAAGCAAAAAATAAAATAAATTTATCACGTGAGACACAAATTGTGCTTGGATATTCCACATCTATCTTGTACGATGATAAGATCTGTCCAGTTTGTGATATCTGTAAAATGGAGTTTGTTCTCAAACTACAAACCAGGAAAGTATCACAGGGGACCAACTGCTACACCATACGGCTCCCTCAGCATGTTTAGCTGATCATCCTTCACAACGACTCTTTCATTTATCTTGACGTCATATAAGTAAGTAAGTAAGGAAGGAAGGAAGGAAGGAAGGAAGGAAGGAAGGAAGGAAGGAAGGAAGGATGGAAGGAAGGAAGGAAGGAAGGAAGGAAGGAAGGAAGGAAGGAAGGAAGGAAGTAAAGTAAGTAAAGTAAGTAAGTAAGTAAATTGTTTATTATAGTGACATTGTGCATTTATCATTTCACATACATTTCAAGAATACATACAAAAACACACGGACCATTGCACCTATAAGTCACCTTATATGTAGACAGTATGCTCGTAGCTATCTGTAAGCACCACTTTATCACTGCTCCTTATGTAATTACAAGCGCTTGTATCTATAGGATATGACTTAGTCGGAAAGCTTATATTGAAATCTATCTCTTCTCCTGTAGATGATATAATACGAACATGTCTTGAATGATTAATTATCCCGCTGACAAAATGCTTTTCATCTTTTTGACATATCGAGTCATACTGTGTTGTCACTGTAATTGTTCTATCTATAGTTATGTCATTAGATTTTTTAACATCGCGAATGTCTAACTTTAAAGCACTATATAGCACTTGTTATCGCTACTTTATCCTCAGATACAGCAACACCGGACTATGGCATGTAAAATAACTGATATGATCCTACTTTCTCAAGTTTCTCATTGTAGACTAAAACCTGTTTATTTCTATTATCAACAGCAACAAGTCTTCCATTAGGGAAAAAATCAATCCCTGAATACAATGGCTCATTTATATCATCCTCTTCCTGCTTTAAATCAATGGACTTTACTGGTGTAAGTACCATTGCTTTGTTAAAAGGAACTATATTCCTGGCTACTTCTGACAGACAGACATTTAGAGTCAGTTGTCCTGGTACATAATCAAAGACTGACAGAGGAGAAGGTTTTAATGTTTCATCAAAATCAAAGCTTACAGTCACGGTCTCTAAAACATGACATTCTGCATCGACATTTGTGTGAAGAACATTGACGTCATTCTGCATCTTCTGCTCTACTATAAATTGTTGTACCAGAGATCCGTTCTGATGCACTTCGTCAATCGTTTCAAGACATGCTGTTATATCAGCTAGATATGTTTCGTTCCGAGACTGGTTTATTGTCAGCTTGTCTAATGTCTCATTCCGAAACGATTGAAAGTCTTTAAGAACGGAAACTTCCAACTCGTCAAACATTTTCATTACTTCATCCCGCTTTCGACGTATTTTGACTGGTATTTCTTTAGCATCTTCATCTAGTTTCTCTTTTGATGAGACAATGCTGTCCACGATTATGTTAGCCTTCTTTCTCACTTCCTCCATTTTAACCTTTAAAGTTGAACTTCTATTCGTTGACCTTTCAGCGACCTTCAGAATTTCCACAATACTGTGGCATTTACGATGATTAAGAATGGCACATGTACTGCAGCAGAGCTGATTATCATCTTCGCAGAAAAATTCTAAAACTTTCTGATGTTGATCACATTTGTCTAATCCTTTCATATAAAACGACCCTTGTTTTATTTTCGCCTCATTCGCGTTCACTAACTTGTGACTTTTTAAGAAGACGTGAGTATTGTGAACGTTGGAACAATCCAAACACTGAAATTCATTACAAGTTGGACAAAACTTTCCGCTGGTGTTTGTTTATCGTCATTCAAACATGGTTAACACAGAATTTCCTTAACTCGCCCGGACACTTCACCATTTCCCGCGTTGTTTAGAGCCATTTTATTATAAATTTATTCCAATCAAATGCAATGTCTATATACCTCTGCGTAATATATTGTAACTGGTTACCACTGGTACTATCGTTTGTCACTTTTTAGTATGAATTACGAGATAACACAAATATCAACTAGGAAGAATGCCACAGATAGATTCATACTGTATCTGTTGGTTGTGTGACAATGATTATTGGATATATGCAATCATTATCTATATTAAGATATATAGATGATCTTACATGTTGAATTTATTTAACGATTTTAATTAAATGATAAAATTCAAGACTGTGCCGAATGTAAGATTCTTCTAATTACGCAAGCCTTGGACATAATTAATATGTCACAATATATACCGAATATGCCTTTAAAAACAAATACTATGATTAGTAGTAGTTGTACATGACAATATGGAAGGATAGAGCTTCTTTGCTTATGATTATTGTTGTTTGAATAAATTTTTACTTGATAAATGCATAACTATTTGATTTGGATTTATTTAATTAATTTTATGTCCAAGACTAGATTTTGACACTACGGATCAGTCTACGAGGTATGATCAAAAAGTTCTGTGCCCGATAAACTTCTAGCCACTACACTGACAGTTTCACGCGATACGTCGATACCGATATCTTATTGAAGATAAGTGACCGAGTTACACGCGGTTATACACAGATTAAGTAACATAAAACACACTTTCATCAGTAGAGGGGTGTGTCATTTAGACCAAAGGGATGTCCCCCAGGGAAATCAATAAAGACTTCATGGATACACTTGGGAAGGAGTTCCCTTCCTATAGCACTGTACAAAATGGGTAGCTGAATTAAAGAGGGGCAGGGAGAGCATTGGAGATAATGAGCAGCCTGGGCATTTAAAAGAGGCAACCAACGATGAAACTGCTGAAGCTGTGTACGGTCTGGTCATGTGGGACAGACGGCGAGACCTGCGAAGTATTGCTAGGGAAGTGGGTATAAGCTTTGGTTCAGTTCAGGCAATTCTGACTGATGTCTATGGCATGTCAAAGGTTTACGCTAGACGGGTCCCAAGACAGTTGAGTGACGACCAGAAACGAACCAGGCTTGACATTTCAAGATATCTTTTGTCCCGCTACGAGGATGAACCTGATTTTATCTACAGGATCGTAACCATTAATTGGGTTCTCTGACTACCTGAAATTCATCGGGCCAAGAAATTTTTATCAATCCGCGTTTCTTGTAAATTCCTATCACTATAAAGCGCTAGGGAACATTGAAACTAAGATTGTGACGGAAAAAAAATTTACGGTCAATTTCTGTTAGAGAAATTCTAGAAATTATCAAGATAGAAGTACGTGCTATGAAATGCTGTTTTGTGCCAGGCCAGGATAGAATAGTATATGTCTAGTTTAAAAGATAAGAATAATCAATATATTTAAAGTGTATATAATAAAGGTTGGTTTTTCATATAACATTACGAAATTAACAACATTGAAATGTACACTTATTTAAAGGTGTTCTCTGTAACGATATTCAATGATAATTAATTTATAGATCTAGAAACTTGTTATTTGGCACCAAATGTTTGCCTTGAATTTGTTATTTGGCATCAAATATGTACAAGTAACTTAGATTCGTAGAAACATTACATTCTGTTTTGGTCATAAAGACCATCCGACTCATTCATTCATTCGTTTATTCATTCATTCATTCATTGACACATTTACTCACTCACTCATTCATTCATTAATTTATTCATTTTAGACATGTATATAACTGACGTGAAAACGAAGACAACCGTGGCAACAGGAAACCCAGAAATTGTCAAGGAAACCATAGCAACAGCGCTGGTAGAAGGCAATAATATCCTAGGTAAATATCAAATGTTTTTTTATCATACATTGAACGTTTTTTTATTTGTAGCATAATTATGAATTACATGTATGTTTATGTATGCTATTTTCATATGTATACGTGGCAGATTTTTTTTACCATATTGTGTTCTGAAATATACTATTACGCGTAGTTATCATGAGACGTAGACTTTTTTTAAGGGAACCGTTAAGCAGAAAAAAAGCGTACTCTAAATTTTCATTACATACATGTATATTCCATACAGCCATGTCGTACACTATAAATTGCAAGTTTTCGAGATTAACATATTTTTCAAATTTGTTACAGGACCTGTGATTGGCCGGTTCTGCATGGACCTTGCCATAAAGAAAGCAAAAGACGCTGGCATTGGCTGGGTGTCGGCACGAGGTATATCCTTACGCACGTGACTTGAAACCAATAACAATGAATGGATAATGTAAATTAAGAATAAATATCTTCCTCTTAAAAAATTTCCTTAATTTCATATAGTATTGTATTGTAAACTTCAGAGTTTATTGTAATGATAGAAATTTAAATGTTTGAATACAAAAATAGAACATTCAATGTTAGTTCATCTTCATCTTTGATATGAAGTGACAAATTTTGTTTGGCAGCAGACTTTGTACTTGTTATGTCCTCTTGGATAATTAGATCAATTTATATATGTTTCAATATTTTATGTAGACAAATTCGTGGCAATGCTTCTTTCCATTTATCCTTGAATACAATAATACATATATTATCATTGATATCAAAAATAATTATAAACTTGTACTTTTTCATTTATTTGATGCTTTTTTTAAATGAAATAATGAATAAAACAGAAACACCAATATAAGCTAATACTGAGAAAATGAAAAGCATAATGTAACTTATTTTGAATAGGTTCAAATCATTTTGGAATCGCCGGCTGGTATGGTCTGCATGCATTAAAGCACGGAATGATTGTAAGTTAAGTTCGAAGCATTGAAATAAATGCATATGTCCTGAATGAAGATTCTTTTAACATTATTTCTATCAGAATTAAACAAAAACAATCAAACTATTAAATCATTTGTATCTTGGATTCCAGTATATTCCAACTTTAATACTGATATATTCAAATAAATAAATGATATAAACCACTCAATGTATATTTGGTAATGTATGTTTTTTTTTCTTTTTAGATATTACTAATAAGTTATTTCAAATACTCTTCTAAAATAGGTCATACTCTTGCTCTTATATTTTCATATAACTTTTTTTCTGCGCAATAGATCACCACAGATATTACCAGTCTGAATCATTAGCATTTTTTATCACTGTTAATCTAAAAGGATATTATTTCTATCATGTAGGGTTTTGGTATTTATAAATACTCCCTTTTTTTGGTTTTCCCACAAGACCCCAAACGGGAAAAATTGCTGGGGTACCAACCAATATTGTTGCCGGCACCAGCCCAAGAGGGCAAACAGTTTCGTAAAAAGATATGGCTTAACCTTTTTTGGCATTTGGCGTTTAGGGAAAAGGTTAAATTTTTTTTAGGGTTTTTAATTTTGGGGTTTTTTTTCTTTTTTTTTCCCGGAAAAAAAAAATTGGGGAAAAAAAAAAATTTTATAGTAACATTTTATTTATAACCCTTTAAAGCTAAAGGACTTTTTAAAAGTCAGGAAAAACAAATCACAAAAAAAAATCATAAAACCAAATTTTATGATTTTTTGTTCAAAATTGTTCCAGCCGTTTTTAAAATTGTTACCCCAAATTTTTTGCATTAAATGACAATGTATAGACAAACTTTTTAAACCAAACCCTTTTCCCTTTTCTAATTTTTTTTTTGGCAACCCACGTGATCCCTTTTATAAATTTAAAACACAAAATGTATTTTTTAATATAGTTTTGAAATCCTCACCCACAAAAATTTAAAAATACTATGAAAGGGCCAAATCCTATGAGGTTTTAAAAATATTTAATTTGAAAAAAAAATGAGAAAACCTTTTCCCAAAAAATTTTCAAAATTCCAACCTTTAAAATTTTTAGATAAAGGGGCGCCCCCTTTCTGGGCCAAACCCATTTTTTTCGGCTGGTCGGCGGGTTGGAATTTAAAGGCTTTTAAACAAAAACTACTGATCCCAAACAAGCAAAGTTTAAGTCCTCTTGGGTCAAAGGCCCCCAATCTAAGGGAAAAATGTTTGTTTATCATTTTTATATAAATGCTAAAATTTTCAATTTTATTATTTGTTTTCTTACTCTCAAAAATTTTCCGTTTTTCTCTTTTTGTCCCTTTAATTTTTTCCTCCTTTTCCCAATTTTTCGATTAAACCCCATTTTCCCCCACGTTTTAAATTTATTAATGAATGCTCCCTCCATAATTTCTTCTTTATTTGAAGGCGTTAAAAGTGCGTTTTAGTTTGAATTTAACATAAAAACAATATAATCGATTGTTAAAAAATTTTTGGGCCCCTTCTCAAAAAGAACAAAGGGGAAAATTTTCCACGGGGTTCCCAAATTTGAGTATTTTTTTTCCGGGGGTTTTAATTATTAAATTTTGAAAAATTCTTTAAAAAATTTTTTAAATTGAAAATTTTGATATTTTTTTTGTTTAGAAATTTTTTTTCGTTTTTTTTCTAAATAATCCTTTCCCGAGATTATTAAAAGTTTGGAATTTCCCGGCATGGGTGGGGTTTTAACCCCCCGGTTTATATTTTCCGACCATACTAAAATTATCTAAACCTACGATAAATATTCCGTACTATGGACAATTAGGTTGTATCCGTTGAAGCTTCTTTCACTATGATGGACTTGCAATATGAATGATATGTCATTTATCAAATTTATGAATTAATCTTTATTTCTCCGTTTTTGAATTCTTTATCAACTAAGTCAGTGCAAAGAATAATGTGTTTGTAATTTGTTTTAAGCCGGGTACAAGGGCTATGGATTGTCAATGATGGTAGATATTTTCTGTGGAATACTCAGTGGTGCCAATTACGCTCACCATGTCCGGAAATGGAAGGAATCTCATAGACAAACAAACTTGGTACACAAACCTTATCCGATCTCTGCGTTATTTAGGTCTTAAAGAAAGTAATTGAAATTATAAAATAAATAGTAAGCATTACTTAATATCCGATTATTCTAAAGTGACAGCATGTAGCAAATTTCAACTGTAAACATCGCTCGAATCAAGTTAAAATAATAGTATTCATTAACTTTGGCTTTTTTGTTATACCGGTATTTTATTTTAAAGATACATGTAATTATAAAAGTGAAACAAATGTACTACGAATTTCAACCTGCATTAAATAGCCTTCCATTGTCAAATTCTTAGTTATTCCATCGAAATCAGCATTCCATTGAAATAAGCCAGCGTTATTTCGGTTTTGACATTACTGTGTATGTATTCTATGCTTAATGAGGGCCGGTCCAGCCTTTCAGACACTGAGAGTACGGACCCTTTTTGACTCATCAAATCACAAACTGTCTTCTATAGCTGTGTTGATACAAAAATCATACTCTCGTTTCAGGGCCAGTGCTTTGTTGCAGTAGACCCGGAAGCGTTTGCGCCTGGGTTTGCAGACAGACTAAGTGATCTCATGCAACATTGTAGGAATCTTGAACCAGTAAGTCTATACATTGGATGTCGAAAACATTTATTACCCTTCGTTGGATGTAATATACTTGGGATTTTGCTATCCATGTCTGTCTTTCAGTCCGTTGACTTATGAATGAGCTACTGAGTGGTTTAGAAAAATCCTAAACAGTGAATGGATTAATAACATCGTGTTAAACTATTTTAGGTGCTGATAGATTGAATTAGAGGGAATGCCCGTTCATCAAGCATGGTTCCATTTTGTAAGCGTAAAACTTTGCATATAAGCAGTTTAGTTCATATAACTGTAAATCAGTATGTATTCATTTCTTGCGCAATTAATAGTAAACAAATCTCGTTGCAGCAATTTAACATTTGATATTAGTCAATATAGATAATATATAACTGGTCAAAATTAATATGTTAGTCGAATATTATCAATAAAAACATATTTCAAATAGGCAGATGGTCAACCTGAAGTGTGGGTAGCCGGTGATCCGGAGAGAGTACACATGGAAAAATGTGACAATCAAGGTGGAATCTGGTACCATCCAAACCAAATTAAAAATGCCGTAAGTTTTTTAAAGTCTACCCTGTAAATATATATATCGATGATTTGATCTCATTTGTCATTTAAGCTTGTTATTTTTCTTAATTAATTAATTAACAAGTAGTTTTGACTTCCGAGAGTTTATCCAAAACAACGTTGACTTTTGTATATAATATACCGATTTAAGTGCTGATTTTTTAATTATATTTTTTAGATAGTACAGCAGAAATCCGGCTGATTTTCAAAGAAACTATCATTTTGTAAACAGATATACTTTCATTGAATGAAAATTTAGTACACATGTGCATGCGAAGCAATACGTTCTGCGGCACTCACGCCCCGATATTGTCGTCTGCCAACATTTCAAAACAACATGCATATTCTAGCATTAACAAACACTTTTAAAGCAGCATGCCTCCAGATTCATGCTTATTTTCATGAAAATTTCGAAAATGTTTTTAAAAGTAAAATATTGTGAGGTGAACAAAGAAAGTAATTTACACATTGCAAACGGCACTTACAATCTACGTTAATAACAAAAAAGAGGTCAAATTATACATAAATACCTCTCACTGCATTAGTTACGCAGTAGAATTATAGTGATTTATACTGAAAAATACAGTAATTAATCGCATATAATATGTAAATGATTAATTAAATATTGAATATTTTAACTTCTTTAAAGATCTAAATACATTTTTCTAAAGAATTTCTTGAAATATTTTAGCTCATCTTGGCGTGCAGCTTTAAAGGTTTCTAGGTATCGTGCATAGTAATGCACAAATTATGAACCTTTCTTTATACGATTTTACTTTTTCGAAATTGTGCTTTTGTCCTTGACCGTCTACATATTTAATGAACCTAAAAGGATATAACAACCATACCTCTCGATCTTTAGAACCTTTGGTAATGGAATAATTTATACAGAATAATGGATGTACAAATAAATATTAAAATTAACTCGACATACAATATATACACTCGATGTTAAATAGAATATTTTTATTTTATTTCAGAATGATATAGCTGCGTCATTACAAATTGAACCAATTAAAACGTTGTAGAAGGCTGGACGCAATTTTGTGATCACTGTCAAATTGACACACTGTCAAAACATTTTTACTTTGTGTTTTTGCTAAAGGCATATAATTCTGATAATTTACACATGCATATGATTTATATAACATATTTGTTATAAAAATCCGTGATCGAACTAATTGCAGCTTTCTTAAGCACACTATTTGTGTTATTAAGTATATGTATTTTTCTCCTATCCATTTATATCATTGTGGTCAAATTAAACCCACAATTTACTTCTTCTTTGTTGTCCGTTGTACACAACTACAAAACTTGATAGTCTCCATGTATTTCTCTATAGCAACCCTACACTTTCCGGAAATGCCAGTAGATTCAAATTTCAAATTACTACATTGAACGTTTGAAAGAAATCTTACTCATTCATAATAATGGACTCGAATAAAAAGGTGTCTTTCATCTAGTCATACATACATAACAATATCAGAAACAACAATATACGGAATAAAAAATAGTCTAATATTTGCGTAAAGGTAACTTCCACGAACAAGTAAGAAAAGAAATTATTAGATACACATTGAAACAAAATATTTCATATAATTAATACATTTGAAAAAGGGGTGAACCGTATCCATTTCGCCCGAACTTTATCATTGTAATTCAAATCAGCAATGCATTAGTGCGATAAGAAAAATGTAAATCTATAATATTTTAACCATAAAAACCACGGTATTGCTAAACAACCGTGAGAAAGGGAACAGAAGATTTGCAGAAATCGCTTGTTTTGATGAACGAGTGTGACACCGGTTATAAGAAATAACTACATACTCAATTGTTCTGATAAAAAAACGTTTCTGATATACCATGGATTGCTTGTACACTTATTTGCTATAAAACACTGCGTTTCATCTTGTCAAAGTGAGCGCGCGTTCCGTTAAAAAACCCATGTAATATTGACACATTCATAACTTCTAAACTGACTAGAAGAAGTGACTTAAGCTAGGCGTTTTGTAAACACCCCGAAGCAATTACTTCCCCTGATCAATACATCCTATTTTTGTAATTTAATGAATATTTCGTAAAAATAACGAAAGTGTTTTGTACGATGTTCCGTTTGGACAATCGTGATTGTTTTATTTCGTCCGTACCGGCGATGCAAGATGGTACAATGGTGTAAATGCGATGGAAGCAAGGTAGGTCTTGAAATTAAAGACTTCTTTTAAATTAATATTCTCGCTTCTTTCAATTTTCAAAGTGAATACAGGTGGGGACGCAGCTTTGCAGTGACATTATGCTCATATTTTTTCGCTGTCCAGTTGAATTCTTCTGCTTCCTATGTAATCTTCACAGTTTATTTTTAAAAATTCTGGATTTTCCATTTTTATTTTGTTTGATTTTTACTTGTTAAACGTTTATTTTTTAACAAAGTGGCGAAAAATGCCAAACGCACTTTTAGAGTTGAATGATTTTATCTACAAAGTTGTAAGCATATTAATTCTACACAATCATAATTATTATACATGATATGAAGCGATGCAGATGAAATACCGCCGATGTTCAGAGTGAAAACGTGTCAAACAATATAATTTTCACATAGATATACTGATAAGAGGGTCATTTTAGTTTTAAATTATATTTACACGGTTCATGTGAATACAGGTGCCATATAATCTGGTGAGTATGTTATAATTATTTTTACTTATGAAATATATGAAATAGTTTAGATTTATGCTAATCTAACAGATTCTTTAAGTATGGGTAAGAGTTTGTATTAAGACGACCGTAGGGAGTTTTATCGAACTCTTACCCATATAACTGCAAATCGGCTCTTACAACTCGATATCAGATAAAAATATAGAAAGTGTCACCTCTTTAATTAAGCATAACATTATTTTTCCCCAGCAGTCACGTACAAACAAGGATTGGGTCCAATTACTTAAAACATGAGTTGTAAAACAATGAGTTTCAACAATACCTATGATTGTTTATGCAATTCATTCCTGTCATCCAATTTTTATCGAGCCAAATTCGATATTTCTGACATAAAATATGTCGATTTTGCACGTGTTACAATGTACATGTATGTTCATGTTACCTAATATTGAATTTGCCTATCATTACTTGGAAGCAAGATTTTGTTTAATAATTTACATTAACACAAAAAAGCATATCGAGTTTTAAAATATAAAGACAAGTAAAGTAGGACTTAGAAAGATTTGAAATAAAATAAAAGTGGACAAATGAAACGGATAGCCAACATTGTGCTTAATTTCTATTCTAATAAAACTTGTTTCATTTCACAGGTTATATCACAATGATGTCAGAAGGATCAATTGTTTCCCTGCACGAGTTTCACGCATTTGTCGTAAGTTGTATGAAAGCAATTGGGATCTCAGAAAAACATGGATCATCACTGGCTGATCTTCTGGTATCTGAAGATTACAGGGGTCACTACAGTCACGGCTTGAACAGACTGGGTGAGTTTTGTATAAGTTTTAAATATAACCAAAAAGTCCTGCTATGCTGGTATCAAATACTTTAATCGTGTTGTATTATATATACGGGAAATCTGTAAATGGACGGTAAGTAGAGGCCAAAGTTCTGCAGACAACAGGGACCACTACAGTCACGACTTGAACAGACTGGGTGAGTTTTGATTTAACTTTCACGATTTCATCTTCATTAATACACGATTTCAACTTCTAGAATTCACCTTCAATTTCAACTTCTCAAATTCAACTTCGTGAAATTACTACTTCAACTTCAAGAATTCAAGATTAGAACTTCATGAATTGAAATTGTGAATTCCTGAAGTTGAAATCGTTAATTCATGAACTTAAAATCGTGATTTCACGAACTTGACATTGAGAAGTTGCAATCGTGAATTCATAAGTTAAAATCGTGAATTCGTGAATTTGAAATCGTGAAATCATGAAGTTGAAATCGTGAATTCGTGAAGTTGAAATCGTTAATTCGTGAAGTAGAAATCGGGAATTCATGAAGATAAAATCGGGAAATCATAATTTTGAAATGCCCCCACCGGTCTTTCGTACTTTCGCAAGGAGCTGACAACTTTTGTACATGTCAGAGGTGAGGTTAAAATGTAAAAAAAAGGACGACAGAAAAAAGTAAAAGTAATAAATCAATTTCACAACGAAAAGACCTGCACCCCAGAAAAACAAGGAAAGGGAATTTCATTCAAAACGGGGATATTTTTAATTCGGTAATAAATTTTATATAATGTAATCTAAATATATAATATTTAAATGAGGTTAAAATTTAAAGTTTTCTTTCATATCAAATGATAAACAAGGAAAACAAACATTATAGTAATTTTATTTTGACTTATACAAACATTGAGATACATTACATTTGTTATACAAAGTTCATTATTTATAATACAAAAGATACATAATATTTTTAAAACAAAGTTCATCATTTATAATACAAAAGATACATTACATTTTTAATACAAAGTTCATCTTTTATGATACAAAAGATACATTACATTTGTAATACAAAGTTCATCATTTATGATTAAAATGATGCATTACAATTGTAATACAAAGTTCATCATTTATAATAGAAAAGATACATTACATTTGTAATACAAACTTCATAAATTATAATACAAAAGATACATTACATTTGTAATGAAATGTTCATCATTTATAATACAAAACATGCATTACATTTGTAATACAAAGTTCATCATTTATGATACAAAAGATACATTACATTTGTAATACAAAGTTCATCATTTATAATACAAAAGATACATTACATTTGCAATAAATAGTTCATAATTTAAAATACATTATACACTCTACAAAGATATACAATATTGATTTTAAAACAGAATGCTATGTTGAAGGAAATATTCATTTAGCATATAAAAGTTCATTATATTTTGTCAAATTCAGGTATGTTGTACTGATACGTCTTAAATCTAGTATGTAATTAAATCTGATTTCATGGTATTTAAGATGAGATAAATGTAATCTTTGTCCATTATATAGGAATGTTAGCAACTAGAAAATGGTTGCTGATAATGCGGAAAAGAATTTCAAAATATAAGATGTTATAAAAAAATAAGAAGAATAATACACATTATTGAATTGATATGCAATATTGATGATCATTAATAATGTATATTTCAGTAACAACACGTTGATTTCTTCTTCTTAATTCTTATAACATAGACAGTCATTTTAGTTTTGAAGTATAAAGTTGCACACATTAAAAAAAATCTCAACTTTTGATATTGTTATTTTTCACTGATGACTTATCGTGCTTTATTAATTGTTAAACAAAACAATGTCAAAAATCAACGTCTTCAATATGATATCTTAAACTTCTGTAGTTGTCTTTTACCATTACATGAGTTTGTTATTGCAAGAAATGATTTACCACGTGAAACACAAATTCTACATGGATATTTCATATCTAACTTGTACGATGATAAGATCTGTCCAGTTTGTGATATCTGTACAATGGAGTTTGTATTTTCACTACAAACCAGGATAGTATCAGAGGGACCAACTGCTACACCATACGGCTCTTTGATCTGATCATCCTTCACCACGACTCTCGTGTTTGTCTTGACGTCATATATGTACACAGTATGCTCGTATTTATCTGTAAGCACCACTTTATCACTGCTGCCTGTGTAAGTACAAGCGCTTGTCGATATAGGATATGCCTTATTCGGAAAGTTAATATTGAAATCTTTCTCTTCTGCTGTAGATGATATAATACGAACAGGTGTTGAATGATCAACTGTCCCGCCGACAAAATGTTTATCATCTTTTTGACATATCGAGTCATATTTAGATGTCACTTTAATTGTTCTATCTAAAGTTATGTCATTAGATTTGTTAACATGGAGAATGTCTAACTTTAATGCACCGCCACTTGTTATCGCTACTTCATCCTCAGATACAGCAACAACGGATTGTGGCCGGTAAGATAACTGATATGATCCTACTTTCTCAAGCTTCTCGTTGTAATCTAAGAATTTCATGTTCATATTATCAACAGCAACAAGTCTACCATCAGGTAAAAAATCAATCCCTGAATACAATGGCTCTTTTACATCATCCTCTTTCTGCTTCAAATCAATGGACGTTAATGGTGTAAGTATCATTGCTTTGTTAACAGGAACTATAGTATTGGCTACCTCTGATAGACAGTATTTTAGAGTCAGTTGTCCTGGTATATAATCAGCGACTGACAGAGGAGGAAGTTTAAATGTTTCATGAAAATCAAAGCTTACACTCACGGTCTCTAAATCATGACATTCTGCATCGACATTTGTGTGAAGAACAACGACGTCTTTCTTCATCTTTTGCTCTACTATGAACTGCTGTACTAGAGATCCGTTCTGATACACGTCGTCAATAGTTTCCAGACACGTTGTTATATCAGCTAGATATTTTTCGTTCTGAGACTGCTTCATTGTCAGCTTGTCTAATGTCTCTTTCCGAAAAGATTGAACGTCTTTAACAACGGAAACTTCCAAGTTGTCAAACATTTTCATTACTTCATCCCGCTTTCGCCGTATTTTGACTGGAATTTCTTTAGCATCTTCATCTAGTTTCTCTTTTGATGAGACAATGTTGTCTACGATTTTGTACGCCTTCTGTCTCACTTCCTCCATTTTAACATTTAACGTTGACTTTGCATTTGTTGACCTTTCAGCGACCTTCAAAATTTCTACAATACTTTGACATTTACGATGATTAAGAATGGCACATGAGCTGCAGCAGAGCTGATTCTCATCTTCGCAGAAGAATTCTAGAACTTTCTGATGTTGATCACATTTGTCTAATCCTTTCATATCAAACGAGCTTTGTTTCGTTTTCGCCTCATTCGCATTCACTAATTTGTGACTTTTTAAGAAGGCGTAAGTGTAGTGAACTTTGGAACAATCCAAACACTGAAATTCATTGCAAGTTGGACAAAACTTGTCTGCTGTTGTTTGTTTATTGTTATTAATGCATGGTTGACACAAAATTTCCTTTACTCGCCCGATCACCTCACCATTTCCAGCATTTTTTTCAGCCATTTTGATATAAAATTATTTATCAAATGCAATGTATATATACCTTTGTGTAATATATTGTACCTTGTTACAACTGGTACTATCTCTAGTCGGAATGCGAAAGTAAATAGATTTATCTTATTCACTTGGATCCCCTTAGTATGTATGCCAATCGGAACGTCCTCGGCTATTATCTATAATAACCTTATCCGAAGACTGGCGGAAAGAGCCGAATAGTTGCGATTGTATTCATGATTTTTCCGATCACAACTTGTCGGCCCTTTCCGTCGGTCTTCGGATAAGTATATACACCCATTGACAGTCTCTATATGGAATCGATCAACAGTTATTTGCCTTTCGTTGACCACAATAAGGAAGTAAATCCGCATTTAAGAGTGCCTGTATTTAATGCCAGATATAAATGAATAATTGAATGAAAGAGATAGAAAAAAGGCCATTTCCTGACAGAATTCATTTCAAATAGTTGGTAAATGCCAATTTTGATCCAGATTTTATGCGAGTGAGTGTATTTTTAGTGTTTTTCTACATGACAGAACTCACATGGTTCCGGCTAATAACTGAAAACTGTCAGACTGATGTATTTTGAACTGAAATGCTGTGGAAAAATGATGAATGACCCCTAGTTTGCTATAGCTGGAATTATTCATCTTGGATGGTACTATAAGCACAAGTGACTTTGATTTGATTGGAGAGTTAGTAAAATTGCCACAGGGTTTAATGTTTATATAGAACATATAGTGAAATTAATTGTGGTCTGCGGCCTGATTTGAACTACGTAAATAACCGAGGTATATCGAGTGAAAAAAACACCAGTTGTTTCCCTTATCCTTCTCTTATGCTAAAACAATGCAAATTTAGCCATTTTTAAACCGCTAGTTTGAATAATAATATCATGGATATTACGATTAATTAATGCTTTTCAATCAGTTTATAACGCTGTTGTCTGAAATTTATACTCGTTCTCCGTCATGTATAGGCTTTTTCTGTCTTGTTTGGCCATTCAGATAAAAATTGAGTGTTCTTGTTCTTGTTGCTGGTTCATGTGTGGGTTGCGTTCATTAAACGCCTCCTTTCCTTGTTGATCTTGTTTATCATGTTTCAACATAAATATTAATATCGAGTAGAATTATGTCTTGTTCGGTAATTGAGATAAAACGTGAATGTCTACCAGTAATAATGGGTAGAATTTATGTATTAAAAGTATAAAAAGCAGGGCGATATATCCGTTGCTTTTCAACAGCAAAAAAAGATATTAAACATATGTACGATAACACACATATCAATGAGGAAGAATGCTCTAGATAGATTCACACTGTATCTGTTTGTTGTGTGACAATGATTATTTGTTATCATATCAAAGAATTCAATATCTATATTGACATATATATTGAGATATATAGACGATCTTACATGTTGTATTTATTGGACGAATTTCAAGGTTGTGTCGAATGTAAGATTATTCTAATCACGAAAGCATTGAACATAATTAATATGTCACAGCATCGTAAAAAACCACGTATAAACCGATATACAATGATAGTTAATTGACAAGATCTAAAAACTTGTTATTGGGCATCAAATGTTTGTCTTCAATTTGTAATTTGGCATCAAATATTTGCAAGTAGCTTTGATTCTTAAACATAACACATTAAGCTCATCCGATTCATTCATTCATCCATTCATTCATGTATGCACTCATTCATTAATTCATTCACTTATTTTAGACATGTATATTACGGACGTGAAAACGAAGACAACCGTGGCAACAGGAAATCCAGAAATTGTCAAGAAAACCATAGCAACGGCGCTGGTAGAAGGCAACAATATACTAGGTAAGTATTAAATGGTTTTTGTCATACACTGATAATTTTTGTATGAATTATGGTACGTAGCATACAAATTACATGCATGTATACTACTTTCATATGTATGTCAGCTTTTATACAACTCAATCTGGACACGCAGACATTTTAAATGCCCAATAAACCTCAGCAATGTTATCATGTTTATTTCTCAAGAGTTTTCATTTTAGTTTTTTTGGCCTTCAGTCATAGTTTACTGGCCATATATAGCTGAACCAACTTTCGCTTCTTTTGTGTTTTATCAATGAGTATATTTATTGTGATTTATTATTTTGTATGGAAGTCAAAATACTACTTTATTTAGCTACTTTTATGACAAATTGTTTCACATACAATGCTAGTTTCTCTGGTGATAAGCATTTAAGATGTTCTACATACATTATTTCAACATTGAAAAACACATATTTGCCTTTCCACAGAAGGAAACAAATATTCCTTTTTGAGGCATGTGCCTTTAAAGGGTACCGTACGCAGAAAAACATGTACTCTAAATATTCATTTCATAACTATCTTACTTAGACATGTTGCACATTATCATCTTAATTTATAGCGAGTAAAGCACAACTCGACTTTAGGTAGATGTTGTAACTTTTCGAGATTTTCATATTTGTAACAGGACCTGTGATTGGTCGGTTTTGCATGGACTTTGCCATAAAGAAAGCAAAAGAAGCCGGTATTGGTTGGTTGTCGGCGCGAGGTATATCATTATGCAAGTAAAACCAATAATAATGAAAGGCTAATATATATTAAGAATAAAGATATTCTTTTTAAATATTTCCTTTTAATTTTCATATAGTTGTGTACAGTAAATTTAAATGTTTGCAGATCACCCATAGTAAGATTTATCTTTAACACGAAGTGACAATTTCTTACTAAAATTATCTTATTCTTTATTGTCCTGTTGTCATTTTGTTTAGTTGCAGCTATTTTTCATGTAATGTACATGTCCTCCTTGATAGTTAGATCTATTTATTTCTGTTTCAATACTTTATATGTAACCTTTTTTTGTGACAACGCTCCTTTTCATTTTTAGCCGATGCATATTATTTAGTTTAATAAAATTACAGTAGTAAAAATATAATCACGGAGATCAAAATAATTTTACTATTAACCGTGGTCAGGATTGACCAGTTCTTTCCTATTTCACATGTGCCTTATGCCCCAGAAATGCATTTATTTTAATTTCCCAAAAGCCGTGATTTTGGTTTCCTGTTATAGTTTCCAAAACGTTTGTCATTTGCAAGTTACCTAAACCATCTTGCCCTTCTGTATCGTTTTTGCAATAAGTAGATATAGAGATTTAGAGATGTAATATTTTGTATGAAGGTCAAAACATTACTTTATTTACAGTTTGCTATATTTATGACAAACTATTTCACAATTATCGCTATATCATTCAGGCGATAAGCATATAACATGGCGTTAACTAATATTTAAACATTATAAAATTTATATTTCCATTTCCTAAAGAAGAAAACATTTTTTTAGGCAAAATGTGCCTTTAATTGAAATAATAAAAAGGAACAGTGACCCCAATGTCAGTTAATACTTAAAATATGAAAAACAGACAAACTTAATTTAATCTTTTATTTAACAGGTTCAAATCATTTTGGAATTGCTGGATGGTATGGTCTGTATGCATTAAAGCACGGAATGATTTAAGTTCAACACATAAAGTACGGAAGCAAATTGATGCCATTTAATTTTGCAATTACTTATTGTCTTTATATATAGTTAGAAAATGACAGCAAGTACATGTATTGAATGTAAGAGAAATTGCACGAAGTCTAACTTTGACACTGTTTTAAAAAGTTCAAAAGTTATTTACTATTAGAAAAACAAAACATAGCCAGGTGTCTCTCTATTGTAATAAAAATGTTTAACAAGTTTTTTCTTTGTTATTGTTCTTTCGTTTCATCATAACTTAACATCAGATACAATCAAGGAAAAAAAGAGGAAAATGATCTGTTTGACTTTAATACAAACACAACAGCTTTAATGTTTTAGTTTAACGAACTGTTATCGTATTAATCAGCTTAGATGTAGTATCGCACGATCATTTAGGCCCCTTAAAATATTTTTAAATGCGTATAATGTCAATGTTGCTGACAATAAATATTGTCTTTAACAGTTTTTATTGTCAACTCTACTCTTTGAGTTTCCATTCGAAATATTTAAGATATTTCACCAGGACGTTAAATGCCTCACGCACATAAAAGGATGCTCGCCAACTCGTTATCTAAAGTTGGTGAAAATAAAAGATTTGGGACTTACATGACGTGACTTATATGGCTATACGTGTACATTGTTTTCGTTGTATATTTGTCTATGTTTTAAATATGTATAAATGAGACTATGTATAATAAAGAATATATATATATATGTCATTGTTTGCAGAAGTATGCAACTTATTTCTATACACAATAAAATAATACAGTAGAAACATCTTTCTGTAGTGATAAATTTTGTAAATACATGTATTCATTTTTATGGTCAAATAAACAGAAGTTGAGTTCGGTTTGTAACGATAGATGCTAGCAAAGATCTTATGCATAGGGCCTAAACTATTCTACATAATTTGAAATGAATATAAAATGGACGAATGTAACTAAATAAACAAATAATACACTGACTTACAGCTACAAGGTAAATTCCATACAGCTAACTCTCTTCCACTTGGCTGCAAACTCCAAGTCGCAGACAAGATCTTAATTTTGCATAATAGATCTAGATGTAAAAAATGAATTAAATGTTTAGTTTTCACTGATCTTCATTCTTCTGAAAAAAATGATTGTAATATATTGGACAATTTCTTATCATTATTTTGATTTTGACGAGGTTTATTAGCATTGTAACATTGATTCTTTAAAGCTTAACTCAATCTGAAAAAAAGAGAAATTTTCAAAGAAATTGTTTAAAATATCATATTTTTACATTGTGTACGTGAATCCGTGTTTCTGTTGAATGGCCGAATATTTTGTTTTCTGAGTATAAAAGTCATCTTTCGCATAGGGTGATATCAATTGAAATTTTAAAGATAATTCAAACCATACCTCATTTAAACACTGATTTCTCGGATTCGAGACTGACACAACAATAGAATAATTTTCTATAAAATGGCTTTCCGTTGATATACCCAAGCAATTGTTTATTTTTAATTTGCTCATATGTGCTTACTCCCTTTTCTTATATTTGATTTCTTGATTGTTAACGCATATTCGAATATGGTAACATCCTAAGCATACCTGCATAATCAATTAGCAGCTACGAATATGTTAATCAATCTACGCCCAACTTATTGATTTCATTTTTGATATTTTATTTTTCCTACCTATTACTTTTTTTATTGTTGTGTGTAGTACAATACTACAAAACATGAAAGTCCACAACATCAAACTCCATCTATTTCTCTATAGCGACCCAGTTCTTTCAGGAAATGCTAGTTTATTTATCAACGTTCATATTATATTATTATATTGAACATTCAAAAAGATTTTTCTGACTCGTTTATAATGATACTATACTGTAAAAAAAGTTTCTTTCATCTAGTCATACATACATTTCAATAAAGGAAACGACAATATACGGAATAAAAAATAGACTTACATTTGCGTAAAGGCAATTTCCGCGAAAAAGTGAGAAGAAATAATTAGATACACTTTGAAATAAAATATTTCATAAATTAACAAATAAGAAAAAAGGAGTGTCCCGTATCCATTTCGCCCGAACTATATAATTGTAGTACAAAATAGCAATGCATTAGTGCGATACAAAAGTAAATATGTAATATTTTAACCATGTATACCACGGTATTGCTTAACAACAGTGAGAAAGGGAACAGAAGATTTGCTAGAAATCGCTTGATGAATGAGTGTGTCACGGGTTATAACAAAATAACTACATACTCAATTGTTCTGATAAAAAATCTTTCTGATATACCATGGATTGCTTGTACACTTATTTGCGATAAAACACTGCGTTTCATCTCGTCAAAGCGAGCAAATTACAGGAATAGAGTAAATAAATAGATGCGCGTGTTCCGTTAAAAAATTTGAGAAAATCATAACTTCAAAACTGATTAGGGGAAGTGACTCGTGCTAGGCGTTTTGCAAACTCCCCGAAGCAGTTACTTCCCCTGATCAGTAGATACTTTTTACATTTAATTATTGTGCAATTTGTACATTAATGAATATTTTGTAAAAATAACGAAATTATTTTGTACGGTGTTTCGTTTGGACAATCGTGATTGTTTAATTTCGTCCGTACCCGCGATATAAGATGGTACGATGGTGTGAACATGCAATGGAAGCAAGGTAGGTCTTGTTTCTTTAATATTCTTGCGCCTTATAATATACAGAGTGAATTCAAGCGGGAACGCAGCTTTAAAGTGACATTATGCTCATTTGTTTCGTTGTCAAGTTGAATGCCCCTGATTTCAATGTTATCTTGGCAGTTTATTTTTTTTTTAATCTGGATTTTCCGTTTTAATTTTGTTTGTTTTTTACTTGTTGTTTTTTGTTCGTCTTTGTTGCTGTTGGTGGTGTTGTCGTTGTTTTGCAAGAAATTGTTTAGGTTATTCGAAACTTGTTTACTGTATTTTATTTAACAATGTGGCGGAATATGCCACACGCCCTCTAAGAGTTAAATATTTTTATTCACAAAGTTGTACGCATTTTAATTCTACACAATCATACTATGCATGATATTAAGCGATGCAGATGAAATACCGCCGGTGTTCAGAGTGAAATCGTGTCTAACAATATAATTTTCACATAGATATACTGATAAGAGAGTCATTTTAGAAGTTTTAGGTTATATTTACACGGTTCATGTGAATACTGGTGCCATATAAACTGCATGGTGAGTATATGTTATAAGTATTTTCTTCTTTTGAATTAGTATGTAGTTTAAATCTATGTTTAGTTAACATTCCTTAATTAATAGCAGCGTTTGCTTTTTAGACTTTAAGTTGTTAGCTAAATATCATTACGTATATACCCGTATGATGATCTTTAAGAGTTGTTTTGACAGTTGATATTATGAGGTTATTACTGATTGTTGAGTACAATACTGAATTCTGATGGAACAACTACACAGCTGTCAAACCTATATTTGATGAGCGGAGTCTAATATAGGTTTTGCACCTTTGTACGAGTACTACAGATTTAGCATTGTACTTAACCATGTATCACATAATGACGTACCATCAACCATCAAATTTTTAACATTTTGGCAGAACTTTGATAATTTGAGAACAATAATGAATTGATATGATTTTTGTTGACTCTGAAAAGAAAAACGAGGCTAAATCAGTACAATTGCAATTTGAAATGGATTTTTTGGACTCGAAAAAAACGAAGCCTGATAGAGTGCAATATCGATTTGACATGGGGTTTTTTTGACTGGCAAAACAAAACAGCTGCTAATTTGATGAGATTCGGTCAAAACTTAATTTGTATTGGGATATCAAATTGTACAAATGCTGGAAGTTCAATGATTACATTCTATAAGGTGTGAAATAAAAGGGTAAATTATTATATGTACGAGGTATATGGTCATATATCCGATGTATTCTTGTGCATTTCAACAATAAGATTACAAAGTAATTCTGCGTTACAAAATGCGATACGCACTTTTACAATAAAAGATGTGACACTACATATATGTCAGCTAATTGACGCATAAAAAGTTTTGAACATTTTGGCCACGTAGTTAACTGAGTAAAGTCTTTAAAATTATAAAACAATGTCACGTTGCTTTTGTTTTTATGTATCCATAGTTATAAGTTTTTTTCGACCATAGTCAATTCATATAAGATCTATTTTCTTATTTTTTTATTTTATATTATTGCACGGTTTTCCTTTTAATAATTGTTCGGGCATATTACCGAACACAATGTCTAACAACATTTTAATGCATTGAAGAGTTAAAACTATTCTCCAAGAACTAAATAATGCAAGAAAACCAGCTTTTATCGCGCCAATTTCGATATTTCTGACTTAAAATATGTCTATTTCCCACGTGTTATAGTGTATGTACATGTTTCCTAATATTGCATTTCCGTGTAGATCTACAAGTTTTCGTTTTATGATTTATATTAACACAAAAAGCATATCGAGTTTTAAAATGTAACGACAAGTAAAGTAGGACTTAGAAAGATTTGTAATAAAATAAAATGGACAAATAAAACGGATAGCCAACAGTGTGTCTGCTTAATTTCTATTCAAATCTTTCTTCTTTTTCATTCCTCAGCTTATATCACATTGACGTCAGAAGGATCAATTGTTCCCCTGCACGAGTTTCACGCGTTTGTCGTGAGGTGTATGAAAGCAGTTAGGATCTCAGAAGAACATGGGTCATCACTGGCCGATCTTCTTGTGTCTGCAGATTACAGTGGCCACTACAGTCACGGCTTGAACAGACTGGGTGAGTTTTGATTTTAACTTCGTGAATTCACGAAATACACGATTTAAACTTCTCGAATTAACCTTCGATTTTAACTTCTCGAATTCACCTTCATGACTTCACTATATCAACTTCATTAAGTTGAAATTGTGAATTTTATGAGCTGAATTCGTGAAATTATGAATTGAAATGGTGAATTCCTAAAGTTGAAATCGTGAATTCACGGAGTTGAACTCGAAGCTGAATTCGAGAAGAAATCGCAAATTCTTAAAGTTAATATCGTGAATTTGTGAAGATGAAATCGGGAATTCATGGAGATAAATTCGGGAATTTATACCGGTTTTTCGTACTTACTCAAGGAGCTGATAACTTTTGTTCATGTCAGAGGTGAGGTAACATGTAAATGACGGTAGAAAGTATTTAATGACATTGACCTGTACCGTTAGGGAATCCAGGAATGGCAATTTCATGTCAAAACGGAGATAT